GATCGAGGTCGACCGGGGTTGCCTGTGACGTCATCTTATCCCCAGAAGCTGAAAGAAAAGTTCTTCTTGGTCATTTTCATCGTGCAAAGATGCCCTTGTTGCCACGTTGTCCAGGACTGCAGCAACAGTCTTCAATCCGAAAGAGGGAATTTCTTTGCACAGGCAAAAGAGCGCTGTGGAACGCATTTTTCGAACATGCAGCGAGAACTTCAACCTCAAGGAGCTCTGTATTAATTTCACGTCCGATTGCTTCGAGAGGCAAGTTCACGTAAAAGGCGCTGCAAGAACGTAGAAGAGGGATTCCCGGAGCCAATCCAACTGTTTGTAAAAATAACGTACCTGGCAAGTCCAGTGTCATGTCCGCGAGAAGCCGGCTTATGGTGAGTTAACACTCATAGCCCTTGGACTCTTGCTTTGTGGGATCGTGTCATAATTTTTAGTTTGGAGCCGGGATAGAAAGGGCAAGATACAAATCATTAGTACGGTTTTTTTTGAAAACACAAACTTAAGTTATATACACACTGACGGAGAAATAAACAGAGATGACAAGAAGCGATCGCCCAATCTAGTATTTTGTTGTGTTTCGCGTAACTTCGCGGCGGTAAAAAATGTCGACCGAAAATTAGAAAAGGGGCTAATTTTTTGGTAGTCTGTTTTGGTCGTATTCGCTGCAGTCGCTGAACTCGTAAAAATCATTTATGGATACTGAACTATGAAATCTTAGTTGACAATGAAATCATTGATTCAGTTTTCATCTTTCTGTAGGTGCAGTTCAGTGATCACTTTCCAGTATGTGAAGTTCAGTAAGACGCTCAATGACCACACAGTAGTTCAATAACCATAGCAATAGTTAAAAAAACCGCATATTAAAGTTGTTTAATCTCTGTATTTTACATTATTTAGACATTGTTCCTATTTTACAGCAAGTGATCGTAAGTATCACCGTTCAAAATTATCTTGCCTTGAGGCCTGCTAGTTCAGTTTTCATTTTCCTGTAGGTGCAGTTCAGTCAACACAGAATAATTATATAGTTCAATGACCATACAGCTAGTAGTACAATAACCATAGCAGTAGTTCAAAAATGGCACAGTTTCCTTTCATTGTAGGTAATTATTTGAGGGGGTTAGTTTGTTCAAGCCACTTCCATCTTTGTATTTTATTTAGACATTGTCCCTCCATCATCATAGCAAGCCACATCAAGTGCCATTGTTCAAAATTTTCTTGCCATGGGGCCTGCTGCTAGTTTGATATTTTTCCTCTTGCTCTGCTAGTATCTGGTCATACCTTTACAGTGGAAATGCTTCCACTTGGTTATGTTTATGAGTAGTGTCGTTGCTCTAGATCCTGTTATTATTTTGGTTTGTTCCAAAAATTAGGCTGGTGGGTGGGGCCTTCAGCCTTGGATTTTATGATCATTAATTTGTATTTTGTGATTTATTTTGATAGAGTGCTCCAACTCCCTTTTCATCTTTCAAGTGTTATTTTTTGATGTTATAATTATTTAATGATAAGGGGTAAAGGGTACTCTTTGATTTATTTTGATTATTGACTGATATCAATTCAAATACTTTTTTATTTGGAAATCCCTCGAAGATGGTGAGAAAAAGGCTTGTAGTACATGATGCAAGAAGTGCTTCATTGATAAGGGATGTTTCTTTTGATGATCTTCTAATAAAGAATATTACTGCTGATTGCTACATAAAGAAAGCCAGTTAAAGAAGTAGAGGTTGAAGGAGTTGGAAAGGACAATATGGAGTGACATATAAAAGACTACATACAATAGGAAAAATTTTTGAAGAATTATTCATCCTTTTCCATTGTCTATATAAATACATTTTCTCAAAACAGTTATTCCCTTTTTCATTGACTGTATAATTATGTACAATTTTGAAGACAATCTGTAACTGTTTTGTACTCTTTTCTGTTTAGTATTCATGTGATTTTTATTACATTTTCTTTTTAGGCTTTTTCCTTTTTTCACGGAACCAATGTATATATACAATTTCTTAAAAGAAGAGGAGACTGTTTTTTTTCTTTTATCTGTCTGGTTTACATATTATTTATTTATTTATTTATTTATTTATTATTTTCCCACAATAAAGATTACACAAGTATTACATTATACAAAGATGTGGCGAGGGGACCTCAGAAAACCACAAGGCTTGTACGAGGAGGCCCCCTCGTTACAATAATATTAAGCAATAGAACTATAACAACACACAACAACGGACAGTACAAGACGCATTATCGATATAGTAGAAAATCAAAAACTTTCGTTTTAAACGATTGCAATGTAAAAATCGAAGTGACTGAGTTTGGTAAAGAATTCCAAATTTTAGGGCCTTGGAACAAAATAGAAAATTGTTTGGTGTTAGTTCGGCAGGCATGAGAACGGAAATGCGAGGAACTTCTAGTATTATAATTATGAATATTGCTACTAGTAACAAAAAGGTTCGAAAAAAGCGGTGGCAGTAATTGATGATAATATGAAAACATAAATTGTGCAGTATAGAATGAATTAATGTTGTATATGTCCAAAATCTTTAAACGGAAAAATAATGGTTCAGAGTGCGCGCGAAAATCTGCATTTGTAATAATTCGTACTGCTCGCTTTTGTAGAAGAAAAATTCTATTAAGGTTTGTTACATAAGTGGAGGACCAAACTGTGGTACAATATGTTAAATAAGGATAAATTAAGGTATAATAAAGAGACTTTTTTGTTGTTTCAGAAAGAAAGAAACGAGACCTAAACATGACGCCAATAGATTTTGAAATTTTCTTACATATATAAGTAATATTCATTCATTATTCATTCGCCTGTGCCAAGATATGGTTAGCCAAGTGGTGTAGCTGCCCAGCCATAAGTTGAAACTGTGCATCCAACCACCTTGCCTCAATGACCGCAGTTTTTATTTGTTTTGTCTTTCTTTGGAGAGCCTTTTGTTTTTCCTCTGGTCTTCCTTTTAAATCTTGCATCACCTCTTGTCCATGTAACAAACTTTAAAGTATAGTTCTTTGATTGATAACCTTGTAAACGTATGCTCATGTGTGCAGCCTGTCAGGAAAAACCTTATGTTATCTGAGGAGGAAACCTGAACCCTCCCGAAAGCAGAGCCACACACTTAACATGAACCTTGAGGGAGAGAGGTTGAAGTAAAATAACAAACTATTCTTAAAACTGTGAAAGGTTTGAACCCAGAAGTCATTTCATAAGAAGGTTGTATCACATCAGTTATAATGGTATTTTTAAATTAAAACTGGTTATTGACCTGATTGATGAATTAAGTTGTGATGTTATTGGTTCTACAAAGAGAGAAAAGCAAAAGCTGTCCTTATTGCTTTGTAAGCACAACATGGGTATGGATAAGGCTTGGAACTTCCAACAAAATCCCAAATCGAGTAAATTGTCTGTAGAACACTGATCCGAGAAACCTATAAAGAAATAGAAAATTTGTACTCAGTCCATCCCCAGTTTGGTCTTTTCTACTTGTTTGTATGTTGGACTGTTTGATTTTGTTTTTTATTGTAGCTTGTTCTTTCTCATCATGCAGTGAGGTAAATGGTGTACACTCCTTGTTTTATTTCCTTTATTTTATATAGGAGTTTTGGGCCAATTATAGTAATTTTTTCAGGGTTCTACAAATTTAATAAGAAAAAAAATAAGTCTATACTGCTAGGAGTTTATATTTTCTTCGTCAACAAGGGTTTGCGTATAATTCAACCTTATTTACCAAATAAATAGATATTTCAGGTTCACCTACAAGACACCCAGGTGAACAACATGTGACTTCAACCACTACAGCAAGAGGACGAATAACAACAAAATAAACAACAAGGAGTGAATAAATTACTCTGATTCCGTTTTAAGACCTTGAGCGAACAAATTTCAGTAACTTTTTCCAGTTTTCGTCTTCAGATCAAGCGATGCAACTTGAAGAAGCCATCGGTTCAAGAAAACATCCTGAAAACCGGGATGATTCATGAAGAGTATTAAATGCAGTCACCTTCCCGTTCTACTTTACCCATACTTCCCTTACACGGTCCATTTCTTTGCAGCACATACACTCCTCCGTTTTGGTGGTGATGGGACCTGATGGCGACGGACCATCGTTCGAACAAGTGCACTTAACAAACAAAAAAAGACATGTGCTCCGTTCAGTATTGTTTTTATTTCACAAAGTTAGAGAATTTAGATACTTGTACTGGGTTCCCTTCTGCTGTGAGCAAATTACATCACAACAGAAACGCAGTACGATGAAAAAAAAAAACAAAAAACGACAAAAAAACTCAATCGGAGTAATGCCTACCATGCGCCTATTTCACCAGTAAAATGTCTTTGGAGCTCGAGATTACGATCTTCTTCAAGAATCACGCTTTCCTCGAATGCGGCGGCGGCGGCTTCTACGGTCGCGTTTGGCTCCAAACCTTCATCGTACGGGATAAAAGCAGTTCCATTGCCGTCCAAAATATCTTTCTGTTCGACTGTTTAAAATCAGATCTGTCTTTCGAAGAAATGGACGAAGAACACGGAACAGACGACACCACAATAACACGCTAGAAGTTTGTAGCGAGATGGTGGTGAGTTTTGGGGATAAGATGACGTCACAGGCGACCTCGATCCAATCCCTCCCCTTTGACTCGGACATTTGTTGTTTATGTAATGGCGGACCCATTTTTCCCACTTTCAGGCATCTTTCTTGTGGGAACCGCTTCGTCAGATTGGTCTGAATTACATTTTTTCGTGAAGTTTTAAGTCCAAACATTAAGTTCGAGCCCAAAAATTTCGTTTAGAAAGACTGCGATTTTCGTCGCAGTAGCACTTTAAAGGCAAATGAAATAAAAAGCAAACAAAAATACAAAAAGAATACAAACAAATAAAACAAACAATCACAAAATAGGCAAAAAAAATTGGACAGCAAAGCAAGCGATCCGACGAGAGAGACTGGCACGAGGTGATGATCAATATTCCCGTGAGCCTTTTCTAGGTGCGTACTTTCAAGATGGCGGCTAAACAAGTTGCTCAGACAGTGAGTAAAACAGTGTTCAAACCGCTTCTTTCAACGAGCCATGTTGAAGCGAGACGCAGAGTGATGAACCTTTATCGAGCTTGGTGGAGAGAGGTATTAATTAGCGTGTTATTGACTTCTCTGGAATATTTTTAGGGCCATAAACCAGTGATAAACAAAGGTGTGCCAGTAATATAAGGGGCCAAACGGGTATGTGATTTTACTTAGAGCCTTACACTATTTGAGGGCTGGTAAAGTGGATTAGATGATTTACATGCGTAAGGGGGAATATTGGAATAAAATTTAAAAGGGTTTAATGGGAACTGACCTGATCACAAAAGCTTTACAGGTCAAATCAGGACGTAACAAATCGATCGAAATCGATCATCGAAAACGTAGTCGTTAATTAAGTCGATAGTACTCGGTATTTTTCGATACTTTTCGTTCGATAAGATTAATTAGTCAATAAAAGTCGACAATCACAAGATTTTCAACTGATTATCAAACCTATAGACAGAAAGTGAGTTACAATTGGTTGTGAAGTAAGCCGAAGCAGTAATATATAGATTTAGCCAGGGCTAAAAGCGAAGCTCCCGTTAATAAATTCATAATTTAAATCAAACAATAAACTTGTAATCCACAGATCAGTGCACATTCATGTGACTTTTGAGGCAAAGGCTAAGTGATTTTAGAGAAAAATAATTTGACAGTCCAAGAGTGAAACAAATTTAATTTTACATCAAGTTAATAGTCTTATTTGTACATCCAAAAAAAGCAATCATGTTCGATCACAGTAGATTAGGCCTGGAAAACAAATAGACCTATTCGTGTATTATATTTGCATTAGCTGTTGCATCATAATGTGGCATTCACTGCTCTCCAACAATGCTCCGTTAGAGAGACTATGCATGGACAACCGCGAAATATAATTTTAAGAAACACTCGCAACGATAGTCCTTGGTGGCAGCCAATTTACACGTTGCATTCCTCTGTCTAAAAGAGAGGTCAAAATAAAAAATCAGGCCAGATTTTTTGTGTTCGACAAGTTTAGTTTACTAGTAAATCTTGGCGACGAATCTGGTGGCGTGTAAACCAGCCTTTTAAACATACTTTTCCTCACCACATCTCAGGTAAACAGTACTATGAGGCCCTTTTTTTTATCATACAGACCTCGGACAGAATTTGTTCTTTTTGCTCTATGAAACCTATAATTTTGCAGTTTTGCACAGTTTTGCAAGAGAATTTGCACTCATTCAATATCCACGACGATCAAAGCATGCTCTTCCTTTGCACAACAAATTATAGCATTGAATTATAAAACATATTCATGAAGAGAATTCTATAATGCCGGGACTTTTCAGTTAGAAAAATCTGGTCCTATGTGATATGCAGGGTAATAATTAGGGGCTTTTAATGAAAACGATAAAAAAAATTCCCAAAATCACTTTTCGGCCAGCCGAACAGGTTCTCACTTTTGACAGGCACCGAATTTGCAGTGTGATTAATAGAGTTACCATTTACGCTTTAACATGATAGAGAAATTGTTATGTTTAGGTTTTATTTCTGCATGCGATGTTTATGTTCGCCTGGAAACAACCGGTGCAGCGATAAAAATTGCATGAGGGACTACTAACAATCAATAAAATAAATATAATTCGGTGAAACATGTGCAGAGACAATAATTTTCATTCACGAAGAGAAGTATTGAGAGTAAAGTGTCTCTGAAAATCATGAGTCAGGTAAGCATAAGCTTATTTACGTTTTAAGCCGGCTTCCCAGTGTTTGCTCTTTTTCAAGATGAACTCGAGGCAAGAAAATCGCTCAGAGTCTTCTGTTTACAGCCAAAATCATAAGTAAATAATCTTCGGAAACTTTTCTTTGAATTTGTGGTCAAAAACTGTCTGAAGGCTTTTTAAACCTAATACTGTTGTAGGTTTAATCATAACTATAACAAAATTGTCAAATCTGATTGGCAATCAACTGCCCGGGCCCTGATTTCAGCCTTAATTGGACAGTACGCGTCATGCCTGAGTAATTGGACAGTACGCCCCATCACGTGCGTGCTTAAATGGCTTTTTTTTTTTTCACTGCTAGCAGAACAAAATTTCGAATTTCTTGTGTTTTGATTTAAAAAATAGCCTATTATATTACAAATTTTGTTAAAGTTATGATTAATTGGTAACAGAACTTCGTCTCGTCCAATTCGGTCTGTAATCATACTCATGATTAAACAAATCGGACTCCCGCTATGCGGTCGTCCGATTTTGTTAATCACTCGTATGATTACAGACCGAATTGGACTCCACTCAGTCCTGTTACCATTACATATCATTGCTCGTGCAGCTCGTGTGTAAACTTAAGCCACATAAACTATACGCTCGACTTCAGGAAACCGAAAAAATAAACACATCAAAGACAACAATTGCTCAGGCTTACCAGTCGAGATGCTGCTTCTGAAGGTCATCAAGTGTTCCAGAATTGCTTGAGACTTTTCAACCCTCTTACACCTCAAACAAGGGCAAGTGAGCAAGCTCGTTTTTGAAGATGATGCCATCCGAAATCGGATTTCCAATGACTTTGACAAGCGGTGCATTTGTCAACAAAATGCGCAATAAACAAACCAGCCATGAATTACAGAACAATCTTGAAAACAGCTGTATTTCATTTTGTACACCAAGTAGAAAAAGAGAGTTTAAAGCATCACAAGATGACACAAAACTCTGTCAGCTCCAGCTCCAGTGAGCAAGTTTCCAGACGCTGCATAAATTTTCCACATGAACTTACCTGTCAAATTTTGACCAATCAGAACATAAAAATTGGACGTAAAGCGTGATCAACGCGTGACAGTGAGAAAAGTCAAAAGTGATTGCTCTCCCTGCATGTAAATGTAAAAGCCAGTTGAATGTTCGTGTCCGAGGTCAGTTCGAAATAACATTTTAAAAATGCGCCTCATGAACACGACTTATTTCATATGCATTTTTAAAAAAATTTAACTTGAGCATGCGATCATTTGAAAAGTACTAACTTGTCAGCGGATGCCTTTAATAAAACACTCGAACTCAGTGGGTCGATACCTGAGCCCGCGATACGGTCAGGCGATACTGGTCAGCAGAAACACTATTTTGACAACTGTCAATTAATCAAAGCATGGATGTTCAGGTTTTGGGCTCCTAAACTAGTTAGAAAGTCTGAGATTAAACATTGGTAGGCCTGTGGTGCCTGTGCCGAATTTTCTAGGATGGTTAGATTTTCTATGCTGTGGTGCTTCGAATTGAGCCTGTGATCAAATAAAATAATTATCAGCGCAAAACTTTAAACACTAAATTAACCTCAATGGATAAAAAATGAGCCCGCAATACACTCAGGTGATGATGGTCAGCGTATACTCTAGTTTCACAACTGTCAATTAACCTTCATTAGAATGGAGAATATTCGAATTAACAGACTTCGAGTGTGAGTAAGACATATCCGTCCGGTGTGTAGTAGAAAATGCCAGATCGTGTACCCTGACCTGAGCCCACGTTATTATTATTACGTTATCACGTCCTTTGATAGTGGTCTGCACATGTCCCATTTTGACAGCTGTCAATTGACCATAATTTGGCTTGCCAATGTAACTTTAAACGACTGTCAGCTAGCTGACAGCCTTGCCCGGCGTAGTTTCGTTTTTATGTTGAATTGATGAGTGTGACATATTACATCAGCTTATATGTAGGGGCAAAATGACTGGTCTTTCATCTGAGCCCGCGAGATGGTCATGTGATAATTGTCAGCGGATTTTGATTTTGACATCTGTCAATCTAATTGTACTCATACGGATGGTTTACATGACTAAGAGGCTAGTCAAGTTGTGACATTTGACATCGGCTTACATGAATTGTGTGTACTGGTGGGCGGGTGGGCGTATGGTATGTCATAACCAAATTTTCTCGGATGGATAGTTTACCAAATTTTCTTACCCATGGTGCTCCACTGCGCGTGCGCAAAGCTCGCGCGAGAGCTCCGCTATTAAGTTAATATAGCTCAAAGGGTATTTTTTTTTACATAAATATCCTTCCAACCCCCATTTTGAGCTACAGCTGGTGTGTTGCAGACAGTGGGTGTCGTGTAGCCTCTAAAGTTTTAATGAAAAGTGACCTTCTATCACAGCTGGCCCAAAATCATGTTACCAGGAAAGCCGTGAAAGTTGATGTAGAATGTGACCATTGAGTGAGTTGGTTTTGCATTGGTGAACCAGCTCCATGTCATGTGTAGAAGCTAGGATCCTTGTCTTCTCCAACACCTACCAGTAATTGTAATTAGCTTTGTCTTAGAAAACAATAGTAATAATTAAAAAAAAGAGAGAGAAAAAAGAGTAGCTAATAAAAAAAAATGTTAACATGGATAAATCAGGCTCAGTACACGTACATTTAGGAATCTGGTCCATGATAAAGGATGATTCAAGCTCAACAAAATTATTGTCTTCACGGTGGCCAATTTATCTTACATGTATCTCTCATCTTCATGGTAAACTGATGTCAAAATCAAGTGTACCATACTGCAAAGGTGTTTTTAGGATTATCAAGTATCATTATGTAATTTACTTGGCTGATTTAAATTCCTATTTGGCTGTTTTGTTCGTTTGTTTGTTTTGATTATATTTTGATTTATTTTTTTTGGACACTATCTGAAGTGAAAGGGTTCAAATAAGAATTAATAACTGTTTGCTTTTTGTACATGTAAGGTTCCACACACCATCCAGGCATATGCCCTTGAAATCACTTCAAAGATTGGACGTGCAAAGGTGCGAGAAGAATTTATGAGGAATGCTCATGTTCGTGACATTAGGGTTATTGACATGTTGGTTATAAAGGTACGTTTTGCTGTACAGAACATCAATCTACATGTATTCTAGGTACTGTAACACAGAAGGCCTACATGTAACAATAACATAATATCTATACATGCACCAAGTGGTTTAGCAGTACAATGTACATGTAGGTAAGGCTGTCACTACCATTTCAAGTTGCGAGGTAAATTCAACAAGCAGATGGGTTATTAAACAGCTAGGGATTTCCTTTGGTTCTACATGTATCTACTTTTGTTGTCCTTCGAAAGTAGCCAGAGGTCTTGTTTATTGTCGCAGGGGGAAAAGCCTGGCTCCCAGCTTTAAATGAGGGGTCAAACCTGATTAAACTCTGTCAGCTGTGCCATTTGGCAAGTTTATTTTTTGTCCCACGGATTTGTCACTTCAAGAAAGTAAGGCAAAAAAAGGAAACCCGTATAAATTTTAAGAAAGGAGGCCTTTACATAGCTGTCCAGCTAATTCACCAGGGCCTTATTACTACTCAAACATACTAAGTTTAAAAACATAGCATCTATTTGTAATCAAATAATTATTTGAAACTTATAGAGATAATGTTTTCTTGCATGCCTGCATTCAGGTTGCAAAGTAAAGTATCCCTTTTGTTAACATAAACAGAAGGAAAAAAAATGTCTGGACTGGACTGGACTGCATGTGTTTTTCTTAATTGTAGCAGGCTACATGTACGTATAACCAGCTTTGGTTAATTTTGTTTCCGTTGTACTTTGTGACTGAAACACATGGAGTAGGATTTTCTTATTACTTTTAGTTTAGAGTGCAAAAAGCTAAATCATTGGTAATACGAAAAGCAGGCTGCAAATACTAAAGATCTTGTATCAAAGGGGAATTTGATGTTTGATCAGGGGTGTCTTACTTTTTATCTCCTTACTCCACACATTTCTACCCTTGCAGCTTACCTCAAGAACGTAAAAAAAAAAGAATTAAAAAATAGTAATAATGGCATGATCATTTCTGGTTTTTGCGTGGAATACATTCACTTCAAATGAAGGATAACCTGATAAAAGCCAATCATCTTTGCAGTACTTTTTGTTTAGGGTTTAGGGTTCATTGCTGGAAACCTCAAACTTGACTATTGTGAGTTCAATTCCTGACTCACTGTGCATATTGAACTACAATCACGCCTGTACTGCTCCCCTTATGTTGACTATGGAATTTGTATTCAAGAGAGTGTGGTCTGTAGGACGGCAACATTTAATGCCCTTCAAAACTAACATTTATGATTTGTTGTTTATTCTTGTGACAGGGTAAAATGGAGCTTGAAGAAACTCACAACATGTGGAAGCAGAAGACGCATGTCATGCGATACTTCAAAGAAAGTGAAAAACCAAGAAAAACTGACTTCCTAGCCAAATTTTATGATGGTTATGATTAATTTGTGATTCTATCTTTCATCTCAAGCCAAAATTTAATTCTTAAATTAGTTCGTTAAGTGGTAATTAAGAGTGATTTCAGTTAAATTTGTTTGTGTTTAACAGTTTCTATAACACTGAAAGTGCTAATTTTTTTGTAAATAAAATTCTGGTCTACATGTGTTTCAATGCCATTGTTGGAAAAAATCTCTTCTCTTCAAAAAGAGGAGGTGGGGGGGGGGGGATGCTTATTTGAGAGGGAGGCAGGGGAATTTTGATTTAGGTAAGATGATGGTATCAATACTCCACACAAACTAAAACAGAAGTGGAAAAGCTCAGGCACATAAAGTTGGAGGTCATGCAGCTGCAGGACGAAAACGTATTCGAACTTCAGTATGTGAATAAAAATGTTACTCAGGATCAGTCCACGTGAAGTGTTACAGTCATAAAATAATGATAAAAACAATCTATCATTTCAGGGGAAGGGGAGAGGGGATTACATGTAAGAACTTTCTTCCCCCGAGAAAAGGGTGGAAGGCTTATTGGAGAGGAGGGCGGGGGCTTATTTGAGACGGGGGCGTAATAGAAGACGATGGTAATTGTAGCATTGGTATCTGCACCTCTAAACAGACTACCCCATTAAACACTGTTAAGCAGACTCTGAAGATTGTTTCCTGAAAAAAATTAGATGGATAAATAAATGGAGAGTCAGCAGTCTGGCTAGTGCTGCCATTTTCAGGTATCATAATTGTTTGTTAATTTTTTGCTTGTTTGTTATTTTTGGTTTGCTGTTTTCATGGATGCACTTTTTGGAAGAGAGACTCTAACTGAAGTCAATAACCAGAAGTCAGAACTGACTGGCTGGACTAATTATTTTGAAAACAAAAAAGACTTCTTTGGATTTTTTAAGTTCTCAACCTGACCCAGAAGGCCAAACATGGAGTGTAAACCTCAACAGTTTATTTATTCAAAGTAAATAAATAAATTGTTGAGGTTTACACTCCTTCTGGGTCAGCGAGGTTAATTCAAAGGACAGGCTTGGTGTGAAACTTGGTGTAAACCTCTGAGCTATTCTGAAAAAAAAAACAAAACAAAACAAAACAAAACAATATATATATATATTTATATGAAATATAAATGAAGAATATTTTGATAAATAAATTATAATAAATATGAATCTTTATTAACATATGACCAATTTACATTCCACTATTCATAGACTAAAATTTTGATGAAATGAAAAATATTAAAAGATCTTAAAATACTAATTTACAAGCTCACACCATTTTCGACTTTCTAAAATTAGCAGACAGACGTTTGGCTAGCGTTTAAGCATCAGTCATCATATGACCAATTTACATTCCACTATTATTATTAATGATAATAATCATAATAAATAGTCATAACCATAATCATAATAAGTATTAAAAAAATAAAAAATAAATTAAAAGAATGAAATGAATAAATAAACAGAATAAAACAAAACAGTAAACAAATAATGATTTTCTCGCTTTTGAAGTTGACTTCCAAGTAAGATTTCCCTGTAGAGTGGGGTAGTGTGTGAACCCCACCCCTCCTCAACCAACCCCTCCAGTACGTCTAGTTCCAGCCCACCACCCGAGATTTAAGTGCAATGTACGCCATGGACTGGCAGATTGATCTTCTTCTGACTAGCTTCAAGGTGAGTTTTCTTCTTATTTCAAAGTATTCTTAGCGCAGCATAGATTTTGCCCTCTTAAAACATGGAATATTACATCACTGATACGGTTTTCCGTATCATAGAAGCTCGATTTTCCCACACTGAACGCATAATTTGTTTTGCATAAGAAACCCTTGACGACCGCTTGATAATTGAATCCTTTGTACCAGCTTTTATTTCCAAATTACCACAATTGAATGCATTACAGATTAAAAGGAAGTGTCTAATAAAAGTATGAATATTAATGTCGCGAGGTCTTTGTGATCTTGCATAATTTGGTTGCGAAGCAAATCGAGTTGATTGTTTTAGAACGCGCCATTTTTTTCTTTGCAGTAAAACATGACGCACAGAACAGAGTAAGTAATGATCAACAAATTCGGTGCTAATACAGGTTCTTTGTTTGCTGCGTTCAAAAAAAGGATTGACAAAATTGCTTTTTTATCAAGAAATCGTAAGTGAGGCAGTTTATTATTTAATTATTGATGCGTTGAAGTAGTTCAATACAGATTGTAAACAAAGTCAGAACAGGTCATCAAAAATTTATACCTTCCTCACAGCTTGAGTGAACAGTCGAAATCTTTTGATGCAGTATCAGTACATCGCATTTTTATGCTTCGTGAAGTAACTACAGATAATTTTCGACGCCTGCCACACAGGCTAATGCTACTACCAACTCCAGTTTATTTTACTTTTATAGAACTTAGAAGCAAACGTGGTCTGAATTAATGATATTTGTACAGCATTTTATTGTGCGGAGCATAACGATTTTCTATGCTTGATCGCAACATTAACCAACAATAGTAGAAATTATCTAACTTTTTACTAATTATTGCTGTTGTGTGTTTCTTCTGGAGACCCCTAAGGTTATTGTTCAACATCCCTAAATTCAATTTTGTCTTCTTCCTCATAGTTTGAATGAGTGCAAATAGATTTACTTATAATTCAGTCTCATTTGCAGTTAACGGCTTTCGTCACTTTAAGGGGACTTTTGCTTACTAAGGGAAAAACTAAGGCCTAGGCCAAATGTCAAACTTTTCATGACATGTGTAAAAACTAATCGAACTGCCTGACTCAACACTCTAAACAAGACACATCATGGTGTGTTCCAACGACAACTGTATTCCTCATAGCATTGTGGGTAATGACAGCTTGCTTAGGCCCGGTTACTCAATATATTACACTACTTCTCCTCATACAAGAGATACAAACAACAATGGTACAGAAACATAAACAGCAGCCTAAGCTACAGATTAAGTCGATCAACCGGTTTTCTGTTTCTCAACGATCGCCTCAAAATGACTGGCGATGATTCTTTACAAGGACTAGGTTCCGATTCCTCATTGGTAGGCTGCGATACATCATTAGAAACTAATTCAGTGTCTAGAACCGGAACAGATTGTTGGTCACATAACTGAGCAACTGATATCTCAATTTCACAAGCTTCATTTGGCCTTTTATCATGAGCCCTAATTAAATGACCAGCATGAACGTATCTAGTCTTATGTCCAGTTTTCACTAAATAAATTCTAGGTCCACACACCTTAATTACCCTTCCCAGGATCCACTTCACAATATTAGAGAGTTTTAGATCTGAGTTTACCGCAAACCTCTAACCGCGGTTTGCGGTTACCCGTTTGCGGTTCGACGTTGAAACATAATTCGATTTAGATTGGTGGTGGATTAAAGAAGTGGATTCTGGTTTATTTTTCCATTTAGAAATAGAAGAAAAATCAATCAGAGAAAATAAGAGAGATTTACGGTAGCACTGGGTTATCTATCAGCAAAGAGCTGTAAATTCTTACATTAGTTCTTCTTGCAATTAATTTTTATGGCTGCCATTTTGAATCAGCAGCAATGAATGGCACTTGTTTTCAAGATCCAATAGGATTTTTCAAATTTAGCATTTTGTCCAAATTTTTGCATCTGTTAATGGATAAAGACTTGCTCCACTAGAATTTTGTATCATTATTTGGGACAAAACAAGAAAACACACGTTGTAAACCTCAGACGTGACGCAAAAGACTTGTCACGTGACCTCCAGCGGTTAGAGGTTCATGGTAAACTCAGATCTAAAACTCTCTATTGCCTTTAGCTTGAGTGTTACCCTCTCCTGTTGTGTCAACGATATTGTTTGCCAGAAGAAAATATCCATTCTTTCCACGTATGCATTAAACATTTCATGCTCAGCGATGAACTCGCCGACACGACCAAACAGTCCAGTGCTGGTCATTCTGTACCCCACAACACAGACAGCGTTGCCCCAAAACCTTGCACTGTTGATATTTGAGGAAATTTGTTCTCACCTCGTTGCCAAAATGTAATAAAGTAATCAAACTGCATGACTCAACACTCTAAACAAGACACATCATGCATGTGCTTCGCGCGCGACGAGATTATAAACTCACTTTGTTCAGCGCTCCGCGCCTTGCTTCGCGAGGAACTAATTTGGTTTGTCTCATGAAAAGTTTTATGTTTGGCCTAGACCTAAGAAATTGCGTCCACTAAGTGATGAGTTTGAGATGCGTCAACATGACAAATTTTATTTTGTTGTCCAAAAAATTATGTACAAAAAAGAAAAAAACTACGTGGAATGCAAAACAGTCATGAATCTTTCCAAGTTAATTACTGTTTTTGTTCTCATCATTTTGATATACTTACTGAACTTACTTGAGTTGTTTTGTATAGAGTGAAGCTTCCCTAAAAGTAAGGAAAGTCTAACTAACAGTATGAGGACTAAATAATAATTTATAATCCCTCCATTTAAACGTAGCAACGTCTGAAGGGACATGCTGTTAATGCCGTCCAGTAACGTCACTACCCGGTTTTCAGGTAGTGACGTCACTTTTAGAATGCTCTGTTTATATGGGGAAAGGATTTCTTCACAGACTACTTTTTGGATGTGTTGTATTTAAATTCACTTCATGTTGTCAGTGGTATGGATTAATCCACGTCATGGATAGGAATTAAGCTCTGACATAGACAGATAACCTTTATTAAAAGCTATATGAGCTTGTGGAGTTGTTGGAATTTTTGCTAACTAATTTCAATGTGTATCTAAAAACTAATGATATTTACAAATAATATATATATGAAAATACAAACTAAAAATATTTACAAATGTAAGAGTATCAACAGAATGTCACGTATATGTTATAGGTCAAATTTGATTTCAGGTTAAATATTTTTAACCCACAATCGGCGACAAAATTGTTGAGACATTGTACTTAAATAGGGTATTTTCGGAGAACAAAAGAAACCGCACCCCTCCCCTGTCCCCTCCATTCAAAGTTGGGGTGTTTGTTGTTTTCTACAGGTAGCTAGAACAAGGGCACAACATTGCACGGAGGGGATGGGGGAGGAAAGCTATATTTCCTCCTTTTGAAGTTAATAAAACGTGAAAAAGCCAAGTTTTGGGCGAAGTGTCTCAACTCATTTTGTCGCCGATTGTAGGTTGATTCTCAATTTCCTTTGTCTCGTAGCCCTAATTATTCATGAATGAGCGCTAGGAAACAAAGGAAATTGAGATTATCAGTTTGATCTAGGTTAAATCAAAATTAACCTGAAGTCAAATTCGACCCATAAACATATACGCAAACTCATCTTTTCTTATACTACAAGTAGGTGCGGATGTTATCTTAAAAATTAATTCATCTAAGATATCTAGAGATTTAAGCCTTACCCTGAGTTTATGATTTTGGATATCATTTGCCCAGGTAGTGTAACTGTTGGTCACTATGTTCCATAGGACTGAGCCTCTTTACATAAAAACCGGCTCACACCAATACGGTAAACCTTCCTTTTGAAAAGATGATGGATCATTATTTTTTAGTATGAAGACATGATATCTTTTTGTTTTAAAAAATATATAATCAGAACTGAGTGCCCTTGTCTTGGCAGGGTTCAAAATTGCGACTCACTTGTGATCAGTGAGTTGCAATAATTGCCAAAAAACTCCCACTTTTGTAGAAAAATTATTATTATTTTTTATTTATTTTTGTTGTTGTTGTTGCCCGCATGTTTTGCTTGAATATATAAAAGTTCTCTCAACAGGCCACCCCTGCAAAGCGCAGCCTTAGGGCAAAGACTTCATGAATGCTTCTCTTTAACTGGGAAATATCATAGAAATCAGAACAAATAATTATGTAGCCATATATGATAATTATAGTTGGTACCAAAGAGACAATGATTAATTGTTTCCATCATTATTAATATTATTTTAGAGAATGAAAACATCCTTGCTAGACTCCAGCTGGTATCAGAAGTATGAATGAGACTAAAAATTGCAATGGACCCAGAGAATGACCTACTGGAGCCTACTGCAGATAAAACTGGCCCATGTGGTGACCTAGACAGTGATTATGATGATGATGATAGACGAGAGTTGATAAGCCATTATGCCAATGAAAAATATCTCAGTAAATGGGAAGAGGTTGATGATGAGGAGTCACGGCAAGAGCAATCAAGCACTTTACATGTTCATATACCAAATAGCTCTAACAATGATTCACGGTAAGTAATACTTTTTAGAACTGAACATTGTTGTTATGCTTAATTAACACTCCTTGGATCACATTAGATTATGGAAACACTTAACGTACCTGTAGCCCTGCAGGTTCAGTTGGGTTCGGCCTTGTGCACAGCTTAAGCTTGCAGTTGCTGAGCTTCATTAACTGGGAAAGGATTACATTATTAGAGTCAAACCTCCTTTGTTTTAAATCAAAAGGTTCAATTTGTCTAATGTTAGCCTCATTCAAAGTAATGGTTTTTTATGACCAACGCAATGTACACCAAAGTCCAAAAAAGTCAAAAGTTCATGTGTAAAATATGAAACTATCAGCATTTGTTGACCTCAGACATTAATTTGGGCCAATGTGTCAGCGAATTTTTCTCAATTTTCATGAACATTTCTAACTCAGAAACAACTTACTGTGTACACTTTCTTTTAAATGTTGTGGTATTTTAAGTGAAAAACTTCTCCTTAAGGTTTAAAAACACCTCTGATAAATACTTTGTGGATCAAACACAAATTAGGCCAGGTGTCTCAAGCTGTCAAAAAGTCACATACTTTGCATGCAAACATATGTTCAACACCCCTCAATCTTCAGTTATTAATTGGTGGTGAAACATGCCATGTTGCTTTCACTTAGAGCATGTTGTTCCATCACCTGTCTATGCTTAGATTTAAACAATGACAATGTGAGTCATTGGTTGATATCTCTCTGTGGCAATCTGATATGTTATTATACTGGTACACTGTTCTCCTTATTAAGCCATAACTGGTAAAATTTACCATCTGAAGCAACACTTCTTACCGCCTGTAACTGTTTGAAAGTTTACTAAAATAAAATAAGGTGTTAAAAAATATGCAAGTTGTGATCCGATCCGATCAAGGTATAAATGAATGAATATATGGAAGTGAACTAAAGTATACACAACTTTTCTGTTTATGGGCCACGCATTTTGGAAAGAGAGCATTGAAAACAGAGTGAAAGTATTGGAATCAAACATTTTAAATTGTAGTCTTAAGTCAACAATGGCTGATTTACGTAAAAAAAGGTCTTAAAATGAGGGAACGACGTTTCAGAGAACTTGGCTCATAAATTTCACAGCAAGGTTGTAGCCATGTCAATCACCCCACTACCCCACTCCCCCAGGAAAGTGTGCCTCTGGCAAATATTTTGTTTGCCTTACCAGCCTTGAATGGTCTCTTACCTGCTGAGCTAAAATTTAGGGAGAACACTGCTGGTATGAAGCCAAATTAATTTATAATACACACTGTGTTGATTGTTTTCACTTGACATCATGGCAGCCATATTTGTGTACAAAACACTGAATGGGCGGCCATGTTTGTGTACAAAAAAATGCTGTGGGAATTGGACTCTTTTCACATGTTAAAACTTTCTTTTATTCCAAGCAATTTGCAAAGCTGCTGACCATGTGACTGAAACGATCTATATTTTGTGTTTCAGAGAAAAACAGACAGGGCACAGTAAACTTGGAAAAGATCATCTAGTTGCCATGCCCTTTGACTATGACAATATGTCACTTATGTCATACAACAGCATCAGGGACTGCACCCCATCAGCTACCCCAAAGACTGCTCCTACAGTACAGTGTTACCCTGGCCAACTCCCTCAGTCTGCTTATGAAAATTTACAGGTACACGTGCTGGGCGTAACATTTGTTCTCCTATGCAGGGTGAAAAGAAAGTCAGTTGAGTAGGACTTACTTGTGTTAGGTTTTAAGTTCATCATCAATTTGAGTTATGGCATAGAAGTAATTATGCGTCTTTCTTAGCACAAAAAAGATCACAGTGAGATTGCAGATGTTGGTCCCCCAAACATAATTATAATTATGTTAAAAAAGAGTAGCAAATTAATACATAGATAAATACAAGTACATTTACTTTCCCACTATACTATTGCTTGAGCTGAAACTGAGCCAGGGGAAAATATGTAACTATTAGTATTTTGCATTGCAGATTATTGATATGAAAACTTTACTATGCAGAGCTTGTCTGTTTGTTACATAAACTTGTACTCCAGGCATGTTTAAAAAAATGTAGATGGTTTAGTACTACTGATTACTACCATTACTGTCATTGCTATATTCAGTCTCCTCTTCTCTTTTCGTATTAGAGACCTTTAGATTCAAGGATTAGGAAACTTCTCCCATTTGCGAAGTGATTGATAACCTCACTAAAACCGGGTGTTTCTTGATGTTGTGGAAAGTATTGTTGATAACTTATCACCTGGCTTATGGTGTTGTAGTGTGTGAATTATTCAGTGTCTTTTCAATCGTTTGTATTACGTCATTTTGTGATGGCACTCTTCCACAACCCCAAGAAACCACCCTAAAACCCGTAGTGGAATGACGATCGTTACCACGTTTTCCCGCCAAAATAACGCTGGTTCACGCGCGCACTACTTAGTATCGAGAACATCTCGCCCTCGTAGCCATCCTCGTCTTAGAATCCAAAGGTGTCTATTGCCAATGCTGCTGCTCTATGACTACCATGATCATCACCACTCCCACTTATATTGTCACTGCATACTACCACTGCCACTGCCACTAAGATCTACCAAGTTTTTTTATGGCTACCATCACCTTCTGATGACTGTAACCGCTGCCCTTGTCACTGCTTTTATTACTCCTTGTCGTCAACTGCAATGCTGCTGTTATTAGTGCTGCTTTCACATCTGCGGTACTGCTGTTTCTGCCACTACTGCTGCTGCTGCTGCGTCTGTTTTCACTGCCACTGCTCCTTAGCGTAACTTAATTTTTAGCACCTGTCGCCAATTTTCGGCAGGGTAACGGCAGCAACCTGAGGCCGTTTATTACTTAGTTCTTGCCTGGTCTACTACCAGTGATTCACAAATTTTGGGCCATTCATTTTAGCTTTGGAAAGGCTATGGAGGCAACATATACTTCGATGCTGTCAGATGCAAGTCAATGAGAATCAACAGCGCAAAATCAGTAAATACCAGGAAAGAAGACCGTGGAAAGAGATGGAAATCCAAGTCGTGTTCTCCTTTAAAGAGGAAAGACGAGGGACAAGCTCACACGACTTGTATTCCCAACACTCATGAGGAAGTCCCTCTTACATCAGTCCATAATTTGGGTAGTCTGCGGGTGAGGTCATGCAAAGAGAAAAAATGCAAAGTGATTAACTGCAGGTATAAGGACTCAATAAGACCTTTTGCAGGAAAGATCGCGAAGGGTTTCAGTGAGAAAATTGTGAAAGAAACAATTCACAAAGTTCAGGAGGACTACGGTAACAGTTTGCTCAAGGAACAGCCTTTGGCTGTTTCTGGAGGCCAAGTTAAAGACCCAGTTGTAGATCCCATTGAGAAAGTGCAACAGTTTAACACGCAGCACGGATTTCCTGCACTGCTCGCGGACAGCTCTTTCTTCTCGCATCATGGTGAGACCAAAAGTTCACGTGTTGCTTCAGGTGACATTGACCCCTTTATAAAACTTCCACTCCTTGGGAAGAATGGTTGGAAGCATAGACTGAATGAGGTTGGTTCTGGAGTGGCAGATGAAGGGAATAAGTCTGTCAATGAACCCAAACCGGTGCTCATTATTCCTTTTGGTGCATTTGATGATCCAGTAGATGCCGACTCAGATTTGAAACGCAAAATGGACACAAGAGAGAAAGCGTCCAGTAAAACAACTGCAGATGGAACAGATACATCATTGGGCAATACAACAGACGTAGGTAATCACTCAGAAGGGCTTGACAGCAACTTAAACATTTCGAGTGGTAACAACAATAACTTTGCTGAAACTGCTACCTTTAGAGGCGGGGAAGGTAGTGTTGGTGTAAAACGTGAAGTCCCTTCCTCCGATTCAGCAGTCCACGATGAGAAATCGCCGAGAAAAGGAATACCTGACTTTCACTTAAAGAGAGAAATAAGTAATCTTTCACTGAGTAATTACCTAAGGGCGGTTCCCACACCAAGATCTCAGAAGCACATCAGACTGACCTCTACTCAATCAAACCTGATGCCAAAGATGAGTTATACGAAAAGGTCTCGTGCACTGCCTACATTTTACATGGTGAATAACTCACTACATCATGTTCAACACTCGGAGGTAAACCAGAGGATGATCGGCTCGCAAGTTTATGGAGGGTATTATCCAAGCACTGGGAGGAAGGAGCCCGCAATATTTTACGCAGAAATAAGCACGTGTAAGGAAGGAAACTCGCTAGTTAACAGTAGTAGTGCACAGAACACCAACCGAAGGACTAAGAGCTCAGATAGTCATAGAACCAGTGTAAACTCACCAAGGCTTCCAAAGCACGCCCTTGTAAAGGCTAGTTATGTTTCAAGAAACTCATTCTCGCGTCAGAATTCTGAACGGTCACCAAGAGGCGATGGAAGACGAAGTAGGTCTGAAAATAATTTGCTTCCAGTGACAGGCCAGCAAATTTCTAGGTGTAGTGGGGTTCATGAAAGATAATATCAAATTTAAATAGCCTGTCACTTGTTAGAACTAGTAATAAGCAAAGGTTACTGAGTACGGGCGACAACGATCGAAGTTCAAAACGCTTTTGCCCCAGCGCTGTGCTTTGCCTAAGTTTCGCGTGACATATAGTCAAAACACGCGTGATCAGATTACGAGTGATAGAAGGTTCAAACACGTGTTGCGTTATGTGCATTCCATACATTCTTAGTGGAAGTCCAAACGAATACTGGCTACATACATGCGACGCATGCGTAATAACAACCTGGAGATGGATTGCGGGCTCCTGTTGTAAGCGAACCTCAGGGATGGAAATGGCAGATATCCACATTGAGACCAGAAAGCTGCTCGCATGGTGCTTTGAAATACGTATTCAAGTAAAGCAAAATTTAACCACGCCGTGATCAGTGATTTAGAGACGTTTAGATTTAAGGCTTGTACTCTTACTAGCCCAGAGTCAATTCAGGTTTATTTCACTTTTCAATGGAAATGCAGACGTTTATGAAAACAATAATTATCTTAATAAATTTCATTGGACAGACATATAGACAACAGAAACTAAGAGTCTTCAAAGCCAAGTCCCAAAAGTAAAGTCTAAAATACTATTTACAACGAAAGCAATGAAAAAGCACGCCTCTGCTCCTGATTGCTGAAGTCGTGCGTCAAACCTGGGTGAACAATCTCCCTTCCCATATAACGCAAATCTTGTAAACAGAGACGAACTGACGTGTCAGTGTGAATTTTTAAGGATTTGTTTGTATATAGTGTACTATAAGATTAATATATGAGTCCAATAAAGATTCACTAAATTGATTATAGAATGGTAGTGTTATAGAAAGGTGTTTAACGTGTCTCGTATATAGTTGTTCACTGAAAGCGATTGTGCTCGGTAAGAGTTTTAAAAACTCGAGAAAACACATCTATTTTCCGTTAGGAAACCCCAGAACGATTAACGATGATCTTTGATGAATGTCTTGAATCGTGGTGAAGCGTGCGATGTTGCTCGGGACGATTTGCAACGACGATTCTAGAATTTTGTTTACGTTGCGGTACCCTGGAATACACCCTGAGTGTCTATTTTTCTCAGTAGATGAACCCTATTAGTTCTCCCCTCAGTCGACAGCCCCTGACGGATCCCGTTAGCGGCGCTGTTTCTTCAGAATTTCACCTTGTAGATGAATAAGAGCAACTATGAACCCACAGTGTGTGCGCACAGTGCGGTGAACCTTGTTTTCCTAACTTGTCTGTACGTTATTAGACAGGTCACTGTTATTTACAGTTATAAGCGTGAATGAATCAGTATTGTGACTTCAAATCGATTGTGCAGCAATGCCTAGTTTAATTGCGTTAGTCTGCTATAAAGTGCGGACGTCTTAACAGTTGAGTCACGGAAGACTAGGACGGTGAAGCGCGATGAAAGAGAAAGCTAAACAAATAAGAGGCGATTCCGGGGGCGGGCTGGTTTTGATGGGTAAAAAAGGAAAAGGGAAAAAATGAGAAAGAGCAGTAAATCTGGAACCGTATATTATATACGTGTTACAACGAAAGCTATTCAGCTGTCAGGATGAACCGGTACTAAATACCTGGATTGCGCACTGTCATAAATTATCCTTGGATCGCCGTCTTTTTATTACTTTTTAGTCTGATGTTGTCCACCTCTGTCACTGGGGCTAAGATAATTTGAAAAGACGTAACGAGAAAGTCACGGTGAGGAAGCACCTCTCCATACGTATACATCCACAAATTGACCTGTCAGTTTTACATTTCGTTTGGCTTATGAGTTATTGGTCACCAAAAATCTGGGTGACATGACAGCTGCTCATATATATTTTTCCATCAAAAGCGATGGCGGAAGTGAAACTTGTAGTGGCCTCTAAAATATCTGTAAATCGGCTTAACCTTTCCAGTAAACGATCTTTAGTCATTGTTAGAATGAAACAGTATTAAACTTTTAACTTCACTTCCCACGTGTGCAGTTCTTGTAGTTTATAAGAAGGAAAGTAAAACTGAAACAACGTGTATGTGCTTCAGCGAATCATTAATTCAGCCACGAAGTTGAACATCAAGTCGCATTACAGATGAGCAGATAGTAGGTACCGTTTTAGATTTTGCCATCTGTGTCTGTGTCACTGGGGTCAATTCAACTTTAAGCTGCGCACAGAGTGTAAAAAATGAAAACAAATAACGCCATTAAAAGCATCACTCCAAAATTTTAGCAACTTGAATAGCTACATTGACTGTTTCAGTTCTAACACTAGGCACACAAACTATTGAGTAGCGACAACATTATACAAACTGCAATGCCGGCTTATCTAATTTGATTGTAAGGAGATATGATCGTGTAACTGATACTTCAGCTGAAATTTTATGACGTCCCAACAATGCATGATGATTCACTCGTGCAAAATAAGTGGCCAATGAGCAAGCTGCACTGATTAGTGAGCTATCTTTTCTGGTAGTCACTGAAGCGTAGCTGAAGCCAAAATACACGCAGTTGGTATTAATAAACATAAAGCAGGAACTGACGACGCTGAAAGCTATCTGCTCAGTTTTAGAGTGAGCGCAGAACTGGTAAAATAATGGACAGTCTGTTTACTGTGCCCATGTTTACCATTTTCCTTGTCTCTTCATGTGGCTTTGCCAGTAGTGAGCAATACAAGACCTCACAAAGCAGGGTGAGTTATTTGACAGTTTGATGTTGCATTGATAATTATAACACTGTGATGGTATAGCACCTCAAACGGGCTCTTTTTTCTTTCAGCTTTTTCCCAACAATGGAAATCACAAAGAAGACGTGAAGCTGCCACGCACCAAGAGAAGCATCGACCTCAACCCATTGTTAAGTATGTAAGACAAATGGTACTTGTTTGCTGGACGTCTTGTCAATGTCAGTCTCTTTACTGTGTGTTGAGTAGTTCTACGCGCAAACTGAAGAATACAAATCGTGAGGGGTTAAAGCCATAGTGCGGGAATGGGGACAAAGAAATCTAATTCAAATAGAGAGGCTTTAATTTACATGTTTACTTGTTATGCCCCTCCCTCTGTCTACGTTTTGTTAACAACACGGCCTCGGAGCTCGACCTATGATCTGTGACTAGAATTATCTTAGTTTAAGAGGTAATCGCAAGGCTATAATTATTGTTTCTTTTTAAAGTTTTGACATCTGGTGCTCAAAGGATTTCGAGCTTCATAAATCAACTGAATTTGACGTTGTTTAATTGTCGAATGGAACATGACACTTTTAATGATTAAGTAACAGCTAAAGTATCAACCTTAAACAATTATTGAAAGAGTTATGATAAGGAGAATTGTGCATATCGAGGAAGGTGTTATCCACACAGAAGCCAAAGGCCAAGGTGGATAACACCCCCCGAGGTCTTCATAATTCCTTATTCTCCACAACGGCCACCGTGGGGACAGAAGAAAGTTAAGTGGTTTTTTGAACTGGTGTAGAATTGAAGTTATTTTAGGAGATATTATAGAGACCGGGTGACGAAAGAGCAATCCTCACATCTCGGCCATGAAAGTGTTGAGGGATATATTGGCTCCAAATCCAGACACCAAGGCCCCAGTAAACAATATATAAGGTTGTCTCTTATTTATATAGTGGTGGCCATTGTGTCAATACTTGTTGTCGACTTTGATTTTTCTTATGTCTGTAAATGCACTTTATCACAGCACCAAAGTAAAGTATCCGTAATTTAAATTGCATTCCAGTTTATCGCTGTTCCCTTCCTCTGGGTTTGGAAAGCGGTCAAGTGCCTGATGCTGCATTTTCAGCCTCTTCGATAGCAGGATCCAAAAATGGCCCTGAACGCGCGCGATTAAATGTTCAAGGTTCCGGGGCCTGGGTGGCAAAGGCGAACAACGGCAGTCAATGGCTTCAAATCGACCTTGGAGAGCTGGTTCGAGTTACTAAGGTGGCAACACAGGGGCGGCGGGACGCTGATCATTGGGTAACCCAATTCAGTCTGTCATACAGCTTGGACGGGACGCACTGGGCTGAATACAAGGAAAACAGTGTTACACGGGTCAGTTAATAGGATAAATCACTGTTTACAAACATTGTTTTTGTTGTTCATATTTTTAATAAGTGCAACAAAAGAATATTTTGTTTAAAGAACCAATGCATTGCTCTTCTGGTTGGCGCATTAATATCAACAGGTAACACCAGCGTGTTTATCGCTGTACCAAAGGTTGTTAGGCAAAAAAGTCATTTCATTCCGGATACTTTTTCATTCATATCAGTGCTACAGTTAAAGAGCAGTGTCACGATATTTTCAATAAAGTTCGATTAACTTGCAACTAATTTGCCAGCCCGCGAACAGCAGACGCATTTCCGGTCGTCGCTTCTCTCCCTCCGAAAAATAGCGTCCGTGACGATTTCCGTGACATAAAACCTTTTGAGCCAATCACGGTTTAGCTCTTAAAATCAAGGAACTAACTCGCGAAACTTCTCGCAAGATCGGGGATTTGGGGAGCAGGGATGGCGCAGTGGTGATAGCACTCGCCGTCCACCAATGTGGCCCGGGTTCGATTCCCGGACTCGACGTCATATGTGGGTTGAGTTTGTTGTTGGTTCTCTTCTCTGCTCCGAGAGGTTTTTCTCCGGGTACTCCGGTTTTCCCCTCTCCGCAAAAACCAACATTTGTAAATTCCAATTCGATCCGGAATGTTCGAGCGTTTAATACATGAGCCCCGGGCACGGGAGATTGGGCAACCACTCCTCACGCTATCGAGCTTAAATAAAATTAACTTAATTTAATTTTTAATCGTGCGCGGTGGGTATGTTCACAAGTCGAAATTGAAAGGACGACTAGCTTCTGTATAGCCGCCTTTTTTTCTCAGAACGAAAGTTAGTTTACCACAATTGTGGGACTGATTGATGAAAAAGGAATCAAGGAGATTCATATTGAAGAAAAGATTAGAGGACGTTTTTTATCTGTTGGCCTACGGAGTCAATGATTTTTCACACCTAATTGTTTTGATCATATTTGAAACGATAAATGTCCTAATGACAGTTGACGCATCATGCCGTTTGTTGTTTTGTTTTCCTTTCTGGTTCCTGGCAGGAAAGTATGCTTTGGAGAACTCTTCGATAGTTTGTCGTTTGCCTCTTTAGATATTTTTTTAGTAGATGTCCTTTATCTTTGAAAGCTAGTACGTGTGGTAATTGATTTCCCATGCGTGGTTGCTTCTTGGTTCAGACAGAACTTTGATCAGATCGAAAGCATTTTATATTTGTTCTTATATTTCTTTAAATACATGTTCTTTTCAAGGTTTTAATTTCCATAGTTTTTTGTGAGATGAGTCGAAGCGTCGCAGCTGAAATGTCATCTTGACTATGATCAATTTAGTACTGTAACTATTTATTTCACGCTGGGTCTTGCCCAGGTTTATATTATTGCAGATCGTTGTGTTGTGGCGATGCTAGAATTATTAGCGAGCGATTGTCAGAGATTTCTGAATCAGTCAAGGATGTGTCTGTTTAAGTGATTCACCACATTTTGTCCAGGTTTTGTTTATGTCACGTACGACCGTATTTTACAAAGCGAAACCAATGCCCACATCACATACATAGCTTAAGAAGCAGTTGCTTCATAAAGAGTCAGCATTCAACGTCGCAGGAAACCTTGTTATGGTCGTGAAATTCACGTTCCAAAGCGTATTTGGTAACTCTCGCCGAAATCCAAGACACTTCAGCGCGCGAGGTCGCGAAGGGTCACTCGAGCTGTATTCTATCCTTTGATCCAATTGGCCAACATCAAATCAAAAGGTTTTACGTCACGAAAATCGTTTTGCCGCTCGGGTTTGCAGACGCTATTTTTCGGAGGGAGAGAAGCGACGACCGGAAATGCGTCTTCTGTTCGCAGGCTACTTATTTGCAAATGATTTGGAAATTGAAGGGGTTGAAAACTAAACAAAAGAAAAACAGTGAGGTAATAATAATGATGATGGCGACTTTAATTATTATGATGATGATTTTGAAACGTAGCTGCATTAAATCAAATGGGCTTTCTGTTTTATATAAGGGATAATCATAATAAAACTGCCGTTCTATGTAGGGCATCAGGTGGTGTGAGAATAAATCTGTCTCATTTATAACGTAAACTTGGCGATGAAAATGATCTTTCCAGTGGATCAACAACCCTTTTTTGAACGGTTTCAGTTTTTATGGGAGTTGGGGGTTTAATGAAACGTATCTAATTGTTGACCGTTTCCTTTCAACCCCGGTTACCTTAATTCGATTATTACTGCCATAACATCCACTTCACTTCCGTAATTTAACCCTTCTAGATATTCCTGGCTAACAAGGACAGAAATACCATCGTGAAACACCTGCTTCAGACAGAGTTCTATGCCCGACTTGTGCGTTTCCACCCTAAAGAATGGAATGAGCGTGTGGCAATGAGAGCAGAAGTGTATGGGTGTAGGAACGGTACGTTTGGCGTCGTTAAAGGTTGTTTCCAGTCGAGGCGAAGCTACCTTTGAGCCATTAAGCCCGGGCTTAACAGCTTAAGAGTTTGCGTCAGTAACTAAGCATAAAACAATTTATATACATTGTAGAATTCCTTTTTCGATCGAACACCCCAAAGTAAAAATTTCAGCAACCAACCAATTTCTTCAAATACACAATTCACGTCATTCACGTTCTTATTGGCTAAACTGCGTACATGCCAAGGAAGTTAACATCGATAAAAACTTTCTTGTTAAATAATGTAGATTTGTGTTGGAACGTAACATTCAAGTTGTTAATTTGCTTATTGATTTTTAGGTTTGTCGTTGTTTATAGTTTTAGAAAACACAGTTACTTCTCCTGCACATTTCTGGAAAGTGGATAAACGAAACGAAGCCGTTCTTGTCCTACAGGAAGTCACGTCCTAACAAATAAACTATATTTTTTAACAAAAGAGCTTATATCGGAATTTTTGTAAATTTCTGTAGCATGCAGACAGTATTATTATTATTATTATTATTATTATTATTATTATTATAAATAATAATAATAATAATTATTATTATTATTATCATCATCATCCTTTAACCTCGGGCTTAAAAAAAATGCCTGGCTACGCGCGTGGCCCGAACGACCCAAGCTTCAGTTCTTAGTGGGAAAAGTGAAACTATGAATCAAGGTTCCGATGACGATGAACTCATAATCCTATGTTCCCTCCACACTTTTTTCACTTACTTCTGGAAGAAAACAGCAATGTTTTTTTTTCACCTCAGTCGTGTTTTTAAATAATGCAGCTTAAGTGGTTTTATGTTGTGCGTGTGTGAATTTATGAGCTTAATCATAACTATAACAAAATTCTCAAATCTGATTGGTTATCAACTGCCCTGATTTCAGCCTTTATACTACTACATGAGAAATTTCTGCAATTTGATTTGCTTAGAGCAGTGGTATTTCAGCTTTATTTGAAATACCTCATGTGAAAATTACAAATCTTTTGCGGGTGGTAGTATAAACAAATAATAGCATGATTTGTACCTGATATTTGGCATAAATACCACTCGTGATATTTCAAAATTGTCTTAAATTTATAACAATTTCGAAATATCACTCGTGGTATTTATGCCAAATATCACTACAAATCATTCTATCACCTATACTAATCATACTCGTGATTAAACAAATCGGACTCCCGCTACGCGGTCGTCCGATTTTGTTAAGCACTCGTATGATTACAGACCGAACTGGATTCCACTCAGTCCTGTTACCATTACATGCAGGCAAACTAGGCAAATATTGCATAATAAACTTATTATTTTAGAATCAGTAATTATCTTAAAAGTATTTTACACGACTTCCTCTTTGTCCAGCCACGTACCCCACAAACCTGTTAGCAAGTGTTGAGTTCTAGCCAGTGGGTCTTATGGTCCTTTGTTACGTTTTAGAAGTTTGTTCACTTTTTCATTTCCTTTTAAAGTTCATAGATGCTCTGTTCCCCTTGGGATGGAGGACAGACGCATTCTTGACAGTGCAATCACAGCCTCGAGCAGTGTCAACAGCAGCCACGGGCCTTCCAACGCACGACTGAATTTCTTAAACAAGGGCAGCGATATCAGTGCGTGGTGCCCTAAGAGTAGCAGTGAAAATCAGTGGCTACAAATTGACCTGGGGGAGGTAACTGCTGTGACGAAGGTGGCAACACAAGGCCGATACAGCAGCGAGGACAGAGTAACAACATACACGCTGTCATACAGTGTGGATGGGACACACTGGGCTGGATACAAACAACGCGCTGTGGATAAGGTAACATTTTAGTTTGTACTTCACGAGATCGATCACCCGATAGCGGACGTGACTGGTTACAAACATTGTTTTTGTTATTTAAATTTGTACGGAATGAAGCAAAATAAGCTTTTGTTAATTGTTAAAAGAACCAATGCGCTTCTCTTTGGCACGTTAATATCAATAGGTGACGTCAGCGTGACTACCGCTATGGCTTCTCCTAGGCTCGACTCGTGGAGATAAAATCAATTAGGTTATATTTTTCCTCCTATTATTCTCTGGCTTCAGCCGTTGGCGTCTTGATGCCTCCAAAATTCTCTCCATTTAACGGATAGACACTACCCCAGAGACTAATCCTTTAGCGTTTAAGATTGGATGGGACTGTCGAGGTGGAGGTGTTAGTCTGAGGAGAATCAAGAGGCGGTCAAGTGGAGTGGGAACCATGCTATCAACATTTTTGACTTTGGCATTGAATCAATTTGCTTTTGCAGATCTTTGCTGGAAACTCGGATAGGAACACCGTTGTTACGCACTCGCTAAATCCCCACATCGAAGCTCGATACATTCGTTTTCATCCGCAGACCTACAACAGCAAAACGCCTTGTCTGAGAGCTGAAATGTACGGGTGTTCAGACGGTAGGTTGGTGTTCTTCTTTACCCAAGAAGATGCATCGTAGTAGCTGATGCTTTTTGCTTATTTAGTCTGCCCAAAGTTGGATGGTCTCGATTAATTTTAGTATATTTTATAACTAATGGAAACTCTTTTCAATATCCGACAACCAAGGATCAGTCAAGACATTGACAGAACTTGAGAGAGCGGTCGTTTTCTTATTATAAGTCAATCAATCAATCAATGAATAAATAACTCCTTTCTACTTCTTAACGAACACAATTTCCCGGATTCGGTATAGAACAAATTGTTTCGTTATGTAGCTAGCCGATTACTTGTTAATTAGAAAATACTTTTTAATTTCTTAGTAAAGAGCTGCTTAATGCCGGTGGGAGTGGAGGACGGACGAATTCCTGATGGAGCCCTAACAGCTTCGAGCTACCATAGTGAAAACTATCATCCAAGCCGAGCGAGACTTAACTTGCTTTCAACTAAATACTGCTGGGCTGCGAAAAAGAATGATGCCAACCAATGGCTTCAAGTATGTTTTCACCTGTTTTCACCTTTCGCGTTCCATTGTAATCGGAGTGTAGTTTCGTCTAGAAGCCTGTTTCTGGAAGGTCCCGATAATTACCAGATCCATGGATCATGCCAGATCTGAAAAGCTGTTTCTGTTTATATACGAGATCGAGGTTGTAATAGAGCGTTTTCACATGATGTCACGGTGGCCATATTGGTGTTCCAAAACAATGAAACGGCCGCCATGTTGGTGTACCAAGACAACCCTGAGGGAGTTGAACTCGTTTCTTATGTAAAAGCTTTCTTTTAATTTGGTACAATAAGTTCGCATCGATGCTGGCCACGTACGTGAAAACGCTGTATAGTTTTACAAATGACGTGATAAAATTATTAGTGAACAAGACAAAGTGAACTGGTTTGAGAGCTTAGAACCGTTCTAAGCTATCAAACCAGTTTACTTTGTATTGTTAACTAACATCAAGAAGCAATATTTAGAGCAATTTATCTCAAGTGATTGTGACATTTTCTCAATATACTCACTCCTACTCAACCCTACTCATCTCCTTTTTGCCACAGGCTTTCGTGTTTTCTTTTTATTTAGTCGTCTGGTTTAGTTGTATTGTTATCTAAATTCAGTTATAATGCTCCCACTTAACTTGCAAATACCAATATTTACCTTTGCAGGTTCATTTGGCTGGCTATTTTATCATAAGAGGCGTGGCCATTCAGGGACGACATGATCGTGATCAATGGGTGACACGTTTTGCAGTGAGTTACACTTCGGATGATCTTTATTGGGTTTACATCCGGAAAGACAGTAAAGTCAAGGTAAAATAACTGTCAATTGTACAAAAGCAGCATTAATAGTCCTAATACAGGAGAGAAAATATCTTCATCTGAATCATTAACACATTTGGTCTATCACTGCTCACGCTCTAAACAGTTTTGGATTGAATTTGAACTATATTGGTGCCGTATTTCGAATCAACGAATTCGTCACTGCTTGGAAAATGTGCTCTTTGGAATTTTGACGGAAAATGCTTGCCCTTTACTTCAATTGCTGAACTATTTTATAATTATTGGAAAACTCTATTTGTGGGACTGCAGGAGCAAACAAATCCTTCCAAACATTTATGGATTTAGAGCCAAGATCATCGCTAAATATGAAACAGAAGAAAAAATCAGCAACAAAGAATTCCTTAAAAGAAAGTGGATACTGACGCCTTATTTAAGTTAACTGTATTAACTCCGTATTATTTCATTGCCCTGTTGTACTTTTTTTACAATTTCTTTTAGCCCTGTAACACCTCCTGTAATAATTTGACAATTTTTTTTGCTTTACTCTGTTAATGTCTCTTGTTAAAGTGTTTTTTTTGTGTGTGTTTTGTAAATGTAATTATTTAATGTGATTATCAATAAACATATTTAAAAAAAAATAGAAAAAAAAAAGGTAAAATAACTGTCGAAACATGGTTTAACAAATGATAAACGACTGTGAGCCGCTTAGCGTTTACTTCTGAGTCATCGATTAATCGATGCACTCGGGAGGTTGCTTAGCACCAGTGAGGGATAAGAGTCGCCCACGGCGATAGCTGGGTACCACTCTAGCTTCCTCTCTAGCTTCATTTGTTCGTTTGTTTGTTGGTATCGTGCGCTCGTTCACTAGTTTGTTGATTCTTTTACTCATTTATTCCTTCGTATATTCGATCATTCGCTCGTTCTTTCGCTCTTTTATTCGCCCACTAGTTCATTCGTCCATTTTTTTCTTTCGTTTGTCTATTAATCCATTCATTTACTCAATTATTCCTTCGTATACTCATTCATTCATTCGTTTGGTCGATCGGTCGTTCCTTCGTTCGTTCGCTTGCTCGCTATTTTATTGGCTCACTGGCTCATTCTCCCAGTTGTTTTTTTTTTTTGCGGTGATTCGTCTATTCATCCATTCGTTTATGCGTTCATTTAACCATTTGTTCATTCGTTTTCTTTCTCCCTCATGTTCTTTCTTACTCTTTTTTTATCCTTCAATATTTCCTTGGCTTGCTCCTTTCTTTGTTATCTTAGGCCATGTCTACACTTTACCGGATAGCTCTTTGACCGGCGCGAAAACCCTATTGGATTAAGCTTCTGTGGTTATTTCTGCACGTTTTCTGTAACAGAGCGAAGCTACGCCGCGCCGATCTTTAAAGTGGATCTTCAAAGTATCGGAAAGGTTTCTGTGACACTCTGTCGCGCTAAAGAAGTTTTCATACTATACCGGGTAGCTCGGTTTTCATATCGCGACATAAAAAGCTTTCTGTTATAGCGTAGACATAGGCTCTGTTGGCACTACGACAAAAAATAGTGTTTGGCGTTTGCAAAAAAATTGAAAATTTTGTAATCGCATATTTTTGGTTCTTGCAACCTTGTTTGCATCTGGATGAGGCACCAACATTTTTCGTATAACCAGAAACGCCTCGCAACCTCAATTAAAACTTGTTTGCGAGAATAAGAAGACGCGGCGAAGGACAGTTGTCAAGGAACAAAGGATTTTGCCGCCTTACATAAAAATTGTAGGCCTCAAAATTGTCTCGAAGTTGGCTTCCTGATGACAGATTTTTTTGCGAAACAAACAAAATTTTGCTTAGTGCGAACTGAACAAGACTATAGCCTTATATTTTGAACTCAGGTTTGTTCTTTCGTTCACTTAAGTGGTTTAGCGATTACTTTATCCCTAGATTTTCCTTGGTAATAACGACAGAAGCACAGTTGTCAAGCATTTCTTCAGTCCTGAAAGTGATATTCACGCTCGAAGTATTCGTTTCCATCCCAAAAGCTGGCACAATTACATTTCAATGAGAGTGGAGATTTATGGATGTCAAGATAGTAAGCACGTTCTGTTGTTAATGCATGTCGGATTTTCCCGGATTTTAGTAACATGATGTCTCAATTGTATTGATGCGCGGTACGCTTCTTGAGCGGTATAGGAGAATGGACATGTACGAAAGAAATAAAGTATGCCGTGCGCTAAAAGCTCGTTCTGTCGCTTTGCGTCAAAGGGCACAGAGGAGTTATTTGTGACTTTGGATAGAAAACTTATCGGAAGTGGAGGTGGGGGGTGGGGGGTGGTGAAAAAAATATATATTCGCGCAAGGGAAATAAACTTGGAAAAAAATTAATTCACACGGAGTAACACTAATAAATATTTATGCACTGTTGTAAAAAAAAGCAAAGCATGAAAGGGGAATGTGAAAGAAAAAAAACTCATGCGGCTCGAAACTGATTCCCCACCCCCATAACTTTTGTAATGGTACGTCCGTCAGTTGATAGTGCGATTCGCTTTCGTTTACTGAAGAATTGAGTATGAACGGTTGATTGAAGGGACTATTGTGATTTTATTTTACCAGGATTGTAAGACGATCGTATGAAGGTTTGATCGATCAAGTTCATGTTCGATTCTACAGTAGGCAAAGGTTATTCGCGCTATATCAATTGAAAAATTTAATTGCAATGACGGGCACAAATGACTTCTTCTCTGCGCCCTGTTTTGCTTGTTGTTTTGTTGTTGTTGTTGTTGTTTTTTAAGCATTTTAAAGCAAATCTTTAATTTGCAGCCCAAAGTTGTGTTGTCCCTCTGGGAATAGAAAGTGGCCATCTTCCTGACAGCGCATTGTCGGTATCTTCATCGGCGAGTGCTGAATATTATCCTCAGTTTTCACGACTAAACAACATTAACGAAAAAGGGAACGATGGGTCTTGGTGCGCGAACAGTAATGATGGTAAGCAGTGGCTGCAAGTCGACTTTGGGCAGGAAACCACAATGACTAAAGTAGCGACACAGGGAAGGAATAAGGGAGATAATTGGGTGAGAAGCTACAGTTTAAGTTACGGCACTGATGGAATTCATTGGGCGTCATATACACTTATGGATGGACATATTAAGGTATACCAGTAGTCAAAGAGTAGTTTGAATGCAAAACACGATTGATCTATCTTTTACATTTCCAAACGACGCCTAAGGTTTGCAAAGGTCTTTCAAAAACATTGACGATCTTGTATAACGGGAAGACACCCTCTTTAGAGGTGTATTTGTTAAGTTGGAAAAAGGGTCAGGATTTAGGTTTTGAGTTGAAATTTACGGATGGTACTGATAGTGAACAATATTACATCTTTTTTACATCGAACTTGGCTTTGTTCACCTTGGCTACTGTTACCTTACTTTACAGGCAATTACATTGTACGTGATTCGCTTGAAAGAAAATCTTAAGTGAAATTACTACAGCTCCGGCAAAAGCTGTTGCTCCCATCTTTTACCTTTCTCTTAAAAAATTTGCGAAGCGTTTTCTGCCTGAACGTTTGATGCAGTACCCTTTTTTTTTTCTATTTAACAAATAGATTCCATGTTGCCGTGCGTCTGTTCAGTAATAGATCACAGATGACGTCAAAATGTGGTAAAAACAAAGACGTGGCACACGAGCCGCAGGCGATTGTGTCATTGATGTTTTTACCACATTTTGACGTCCTCTGTGATCTATTACTGAACAGACCCACGGCAACAGAAAGAAAAAAGAAACAAGAAAAAAAGACCGATACACATACCTGCCTCTTACCGCTTGACTCTTCGAAGATTTGTGCTAGTTTAGGCATTTTTAAGGTGGCTTGATACAGTTTTTCAGGGTCAATATCACCCAAGTTTGAGCATAAAGTACGTCTCCATAAACAGAGATTTGGAAAAGTTGCCACCACAGTTGTATTAGAAAAAGATGAAAATTTGTTATGATTAGGGTTGCAACGACACCCGAGTTGTCATAGCGACGAAATGACGCTATTACCTATTTTACTTGCAGCAGTATATCTCCGCACTGGGAACTGTTCTTCCAAAATCGCTTACGGGAGCTTTTTCCTCGAATAGCCGCCTCGATGTTCGTGAAGTTTCAATCTTTTTCAAAACGTGTGTGAAAGATCGTGCCGATTGCTACAAAGAAGGGTTTGATTGGTATGTATCGAAGTGCTCTTGTTAGCGGTTTTGTGAATATTTTGGTCTTCTTTAACACATGTTTTCGATAGATTTTTTTGTAAAATTTAATATTCTTTAGATTAACTTTCCGTTTATATGACCTTTTAGTTTCAAGATTGTTGATACATTGTAAGGCAGTAAAATAAGGGCTACAATTCGTTAATTTTTTATCGGAAGTTTCGTCATCACAAGTAAAAGCCTCTCATTATTCAAGGTATTGTCTCCAAGTTTCATTTTCACGTGAACAGCAGTAACTAGCAATGCATTGTTAATTACTATTAGTTAGTTAGTTATTATTCAAACGAAAATATGGAACCTGGAGACAATACCCTGAATAATGAGAGGCTCTCGCTTGCAAACACAAAATTTCTGACAAAATATTAGCGAATTGTAGCCCTTATTTTACGGCCTTACCATATATCAATAATCTTGATACTAAAAGGTCATATAAAAGGAAGGTTAATCTTAAGAATCTTAAATTCTTAAAAAAATCTATCGAGCGGTTTAAAAATTATTCGCTAATTTGTTAAAGTAGACCAGAATGTTTACAAACCTCTAAAAAAAGCGCCTCGATACAAACTAATTAAATACTTCTTTGTAGCAATCGGCTTGAGCTATCTCCATAATCTTTCACACTCGTTTTTAAAAAAATTGAAACTACTTTGAGGTGAAATTGCATGTCACAAGCGCTTTGTTTCTTGCAGATAACAGCCGAACATCAAGATTGTCTCTTTTTTACCGTATTTCTAAGCATAAAAAGTTTATCCCAAAATATCTCGATAACTCTCTAACAGATTTCAACTTCAAGAACATCGAGTCGGCTATTGGAGGAAAAAGCTCCCGTAAACGATTTTGGAAGAACAGTGCCCAGAGCCGAGAAATACTGCTGCAAGTAAAATAGGTAATAGCGTCATTTCGTTGCTATGACAACCCCGATGTGATTGCAACCTTGATCACAACAAATTTTCATCTTTATCTGATACAACTGTGGTGGCAATTTTTCCAAATCTTTGTTTATGGCGACGTAGTTTATGCTCAAACTTGGGAGGTATTGACCCTGAAAAACTGTATCGAGCCACCAAGTCCCAAGTGCTATTTTTCGTCTCTGCTGCTTCTTTTTTTCTTTATTTTACTTTTTACAGTTTCTTAGAATAGTTTTTCAACGTCTATTCTTGCTCAAAGCAGAATATGTACGATGGCGAAGCATTGTGCAAAACAGCGAGTCTCTCGTAACGATGACACCCGATGGCAACTGTTGTGAAAATTTCTTGTAGTTTAGGCGTTCTCAAGTTGTAAAGAGCTCTTTATGTCTCTGTTTCTCCATTTTTCTTCTTTGTAGATAGGTCCTGCTAAGATTTTTTCAAGGCTTTCACTTGCTTGAATTCGAAATAATCTCACAAAGATTTTTTAAAACCGCGCGCCATTTTGAACAAAGACAAGTTTCCCGTGACGTCATTCATGTATCTGTCCTCCGATAGATCATGGGCAAAGACCAATCACAGCGCGCGTAGCATTCACATCATTGTATAAAAGAATATATTATATAAGAATGTCGAGGCTGAAATTTGTGAAGTTGTAAAAATATTTTAAGAATAAACCGAGGGTGAGATTTTGAAAAGGACTTAATTTTGTGTTTAAAAATCTGTAAGTACAGTACAGTTTATGTTTTTAACTGAAGCGTGTACATTCTAAACCGGAATGCCATAAGCTATAATTTGTATTTAAGAATAAGTCAAGAATATTTCAGCCTAGAATAGACAGAAAAATATGAATATTCAGCCTGGGATGGAAAAATAACATTTTTATAAGTATTTAAAAAAGAGTGCATATAAGAATGACGTTAAACATACTGCTTTCTTAACTGAAATTACCTGTTATTGCTTTAAGTTTTGATGAATTTTACAACATTTAGGTATTTGGTGGTAACATCGACATAAACACTCCCGTTTACCACTATCTTTACCCTCCAATCTACGCCAAGTATCTTCGATTCCATCCAAAGACTTGGTACTCACATATTTGCATGAGGGTAGAAGTATACGGTTGTCAAAAATGTAAGTACTCCTTTCAATGTTTTACCTCTAGCTCATTTATGAGAGATATGAAGTACCTTTAGTGTGACACAAACATTTCTTGTCCTTACGATTTGAGCAAAATTGGACAGTTCTGTTAGATCGTCTGAAACATTGGGTACTTACTGGAAAAAAAAACAGACTGAAATTAGTTTACACCTTTCCGTTTGGGAAGCCTCACAAAATACTCGTCTGGGCTGTGATTTGACGGAATGCAATTTTTCTACTCTTGTAATTCTGTTCAGCCGATTTGAATATACACGTCAAATTTTACAGTTTTATGTAATTGTTTATGCACAGGATTTTTCACCCGGCTGGTTTGTGTAATTAATGTTAAGCACCCATTGTCGACTTAAAAAAACAACGACAACAACAAAAAACGAATCAAGCATGTAAAAATTACGCATCAGTCAAATCCAACTGCGAAAAAAATGACATTGAAAAATGAAGTTTTTTAGACTGAGATAGGGTCAGGATTTAGAGAACCGGTCGGCACACCTCCGCCAATAATTTTTAGGAGTACATTCCAGGGGTACATCCCGCGGGCATTTGCCACAATAGGTTACTCTATCTTCTCCTTAACATCTTCTTCAGAGGCCGTGGTAACGCTTTCGCTGGCTAATATTCTGTAGGGGCGGCAATATTCGAACAGACTGTGAAGACATTTCAAATCTTTAATACTTTCTTCAACCAGGACTAGAATTTTTAAAATGGGGGACAATTTTAGCCTCCCACACATACCACAGTTCTTTTCACTCGTCACGCAATGGCCGGGGAGGGAACGAATGACGTAGCCCTAAGACCATCAGCGTAATTCTTGGCGCAGCATGACAAATTGTCACGAAAGCCGGCAGACCAATGTACCCCGGCCCATTATGGGCGCCTTATTTCATGATTGTTATTAGTAATTAAGTAAGTAAGTAACTTTATTTAACCAGGGTAGCCCGTTCAGCAACGAGGCTGGTATCCATAGGGGCCCTGAGAAATAAAAAAAGTATACCATTTAAAAATTCCTAAGGTATGTACATGATGAAAATCAACAATAATAATGTAAAATTCTAGCTAGGTCGATATAAAAAGTGTGTGCTAAGAGATACGAAATTAAAATTATAAGGTAAAATACTCGGTCAGCATCTTTTTAAAACTATTTACAGACGTGGCACTTTTAACATAATTGGATAAAGAATTGAAATAAAATAGCCCCAGCATACTTAAAAGTTCTTTTGCCCATGTTACGTCTAGGCCTTGGTGGGTGCAGGTCGTTGTTTCTCCTAGTTGCATGATCATGGAAATCCACATTCCTTGTAAAATATTGCGTAAGATACTTGGGTACTAGATTATTTAAACTCTTAAAAACTAGAATGCATTTATGCATTTTTCTTCTGGAAGCTAGATTTAACCAGTTTAGCGCACAGAATGTGTCATTTGAGGTGTTCTCCCGTAATATAATTCGAGCTGCACGGTTCTGTAGGCGGTGTAACTCTTTGCAACACCCCTCTGAGATTTCCCCCCTTGCAACATCAGCATAGTCAAATAATGGCTGCAAGAGTGAAGTGTATACCCTGTCTAGAGGCTTCCAGCGTGAGGCATATCGTATACGAGACAAAAGCCCCTAGCCTCCTGACTGACTTTGCTGCTTACATACTCGACTTGATCTTTCCAAGAAAGGTTCTCACCTAAAACAACACCTAAATAGCTAAATTTAGCTACTCTTACTAAAGTCTTTCCGTATAACTGTATACAAAAATTTGGTGATTTGGCAAGATTCTGCCAACTTCCAAGGAGCATTGATTTTGTTTTACTCTGATTAAGGATAAGCCTTCTACTTTCCATCCATTGCACAACCTGATTTAAATCATCGTGTACTATCCTAGCTATCTCCGAGGTGCAAAGATTCGTAAAATACATTACAGTATCATCGGCATACATATTAATAGAACAGTTTTGTAAACACTGGGGCAGGTCATTTATGTATAAAACAAAAAGCAGAGGCCCCAAAATTGAACCCTGAGGGACGCCACAACGGATGGCTCCTGTTGAGGATATGTCATTTCCAAATTACACTCTTTGAGTTCGTGTGGTAAGATAGTTCCGGAACCAGTCCAGACTACGGACTACGTCTCCTGACCAAGTCGAAAGCTTTTTTCAAGTCAATAAAAAGAGCTCCTTTAATCATTTGCCTACCTATATGTTCCAAAATATAATCAGTGAGGCAAACTACCGCAGTTTCAGTAGAGTGCGTCTTTCGAAAACCCGATTGGTAGTCTGACAATAAGTCATGTTCTGTCAAAAAAGCCAAGAATTGTACTTGAATAGCGTGCTCCATAATCTTTGACACCAGGGGAAGAACTGAGATTGGTCGGTAATTATTCACATCGTTCCTTGCTCCTGATTTAAAAATAGATGTTACTCTTGCATCCTTCCACTCAGCTGGAATAAGTCCTGTTGAAATGGTAAGGTTAACCAGATACGTGATCGGTTTAGCTATAACTGGAGCTACATCCTTCAAAAGTCTTGCAGTGATACCATCAGGACCCGAGGCTTTAGTCACCTCGAGTTTAGCCAGCTCCTTCAAAACAAAGTTAGTTGACACCTTTTGAAGAACAAAGTTATCTTGTTATAAATAGTTCGAAGGCAAAAAAAGTGCCATAAATTAAAATCAATAACTGTGTATAAAGCTATCTGTTCTTAATAGTTTAAAAAAAGATTAAAGGAAGTTCTTCAAATGATAGATTGATCATACATGATAAATAAATGAAGTATTAAAATCATTACCCCAAAATTTTATTCAAGCCCTAGATCAAAAGAAATTTGATTCAATTAAAAAAACGTCGATTCAGTTGCGTCGACAGATGCAGATTTCGCAGTGTAAGTTCTGTCTTGATAAACAATGAAGAAATACGTGCATAAAATCTAGAAAACATGCCTCTTAAAACCTCTACAACTTTATTTTTCGTGTCCTTAATTTGATAGATGAGCCAATCTGATCCCTGGGCCAAGCAAAATTTGTTAATGCCCCACCCCGGGCCTGACAAGGTAGGCAAATGCCCCCCAGTGCCCCGCGGGGCCAGCGTTGTACTTATCCTTGTAGTCTTGGTTCAACTTCTTTAATCAGACCATCATTGCGTCATGTCACTCGGAGTAGAAGATGGTAGGATTCAAGATAGCGCCATGTCTTCCTCGACTATTCACGCGTCCAGTAGTAATTTCGCCGCAAACCTTGCACGTTTAAACCTGGTGGCTGTGTCTTCTAAAGCAGGAGCCTGGTGTCCTAACAATAAAAACGATCAACAATGGCTTAAGATCGATCTTGGAGTCCTTACTACTGTGACTAAGGTGGCGACCCAGGGAAGACAGGACTCCAGTCAGTGGGTGACCAGTTACTTCATATCATACAGCATCAACAATTCTTATTGGGCGAATTGCACTGAAGATGGTGAAAAAAAGGTAAAAGGCAAATAATAGTACACGGAAACCTTTTTTAACTGCCCCTTGTCCACACCATTTTGTTATGAACACTTCTCCTCGTTGCGTGCTTGCGGGCGAGATTCCCGGGGTTGGCACCACTCAACGTTAGATAGATTTGAAGTGTGTGTGGGTGTGTGTGTGTCTGCATGGGTGTTGTTGTTGTTGTTTGTAATATTGTAATTGTTGTTGTTCTCTCTTTTACGCCGCCCTCCGTTACTAGAAATTGCCCTTCTGCCTGAATGCACACTTTTTCTTTTAGTCATTTATTAAAATTCCTGTTGCTTAAATTCCTTATAAAGAGCCCTTTTTGTAGCCTGCGTCGCACACATTATAAACCGCTGTATAGAGCGTCAGACAGACTATACTAATGGCCTAGAGCATGCGTAGGCTGGCTGCAACGCAGGGTACCTTTCTGGAGTGTCCACGTTGAGCACCTTTTTCTTTTTTCCCCTCGCTCTCAGCTCGAACCACACTAACCACAGCGGGTAATAGGGACCGTAAGCAGCGACGACGACGACGGCAGTGAAAACATCACAAAAAAAAAAAAAAACCAATTTGCGTCTTTTAAACTTTATCACGTCTATTTGGAACCGTTCAATTCGTCAAATATGGGTGACTTTTCCTGGAGTTAAATTCTCAAGGGCTTTATCTATGTTCAAATAGAGAAGGGAAAAAGTATGTCCACGCGTAAGTCCTCTATAAAACGTCGCGTTGGGAGGTTTCACGTGGTAGTCGTGCAGTGGACGTCAAAGAAATGTACCAAAAAGTGTGATACACGTGCAGAGCAGTTGTTTTGCTCATAAAACCTGTGAATTGTTTTTTGACATTGTTGTTGTCGTCGTCATCGTAGTTGCTTAAGCTCCCTAATGAATGTATGAACGGTCAACTCAACCGCATTCGACTATTGCAATTACCGCGGTTGCACGCGTTTAGCTTTTGTCCCGAGCCGATTAGCATAAACTCGGTCTTAGCCATATTAAGTGTGAGTTTGTTAGAGATCAGCCATCTGCTAATATTTAGCAAGTCTTCATTCAAACAGGAGTGAATGATATCAGCGTAGGTTTGATGCGTATCATCGGCATACATTCTAGGATAAGAGTTAGTTAAGCGATTTGGTAAGTCGTTTATGTATAGCAAAAACAATAGAGGACCCAATATGGTCCCTTGAGGGATATCACAGTCCAGAGAGCAGGTTTTGGAAAGTGAGCCACTAACAGAACATATTTGAGTTCGGTTTTCTAATTATGATTTAAACCAATTGTAAGCATTTTCTTGAATTCCGTAGGCGCTTAATTTAGACAGTAATATCGTGTGGTCTACTGTATCAAAGGCCTTTTTTTAAATCTAGAAATACCACAGCATTAACGTGTCCACGATCAATATCAAAAGCCCAGCTATCGGTCGCCTCTAGTAAAGCAGTGACCGTAGAATGGATAGAGCGAAATCTGGATTGACTTTTTGAAATAATGTTATGTTCTGATAGGTACGCGTATGCTTGATTGTACGTTATTTTTTCGAATACTTTGGCTACCACAGAGATAACAGAAATGGGACGATATGCTAGAATTTGCATGTCCAAAGTTGACTTCATAAATAGACTCCGTGGACTTTCATTACGCCTCAGACAGCAAGGCTTTGAAACCAATCTACTTCAGAAATCATTTAATAAATTCTTCAGTCGCCATGGTCTTATCGTCGAGAAGTATGGTGCAGCCCTGCGGGAGATGAGATTAGCAATCCAGGCTTGAATTGCACCATCGTATCCTTACGTTCCTTGTTTATTGCTTAGAGTTGTATTTCAGTTGTATCTTGGTACTTATTTTGAGCGGGCGCACTATTTGTTTATTTATTTAACTGACGTGTACATTTAGTTCGTTAATTAACGTCTTAAATTTACTTTGCGTTATTTTCCTCACTTATATGTGTTGTCCGTGACTATGCGTTGACTGTGCTCACATGGTGGGTGGCTGCTCCTAAAATGTTCTGCAATTGGTATAAGATTTAATGGCGCCAAACAGTTGCGACACGTAGATATATATTTTTTAGCAACTACTATAATTTGCAGTCTGTCCACTTTGAATTGTTCAATGCTCAGGTGTATTTCGACTAATGTTGTTTGGGGAAGCTGTGGCATAAAATCTTGTAGCGTGAGCTCTAACTTTCTCAAGCTATGACGCAGATGCATCGCAGCTGTTGCAAAATTTAAATTGGAAAAATCTTAGTACTCAGCGTGATATCCAAAAAGCCTTAATGGTTTTTAAATCCCTTAATGGCCTTGCTCCTGAGTACCTAAGCTCGAAATTTATTGTTCGATCTAATACCACTTCATACACTTTTCGAGATTCTGTAAATATATTAACTATTCCACAGCCAGGCACAAATTATCTCCGTAATAGTTTCCGCCACAGTGGTGCTGTTCTGTGCAATAGTTTTCCTGGAACATTAAGGCAAGCAGAATCCCTAAGTCAAGTAAGGCACGGCATTCACTGAAAACGGGCTTTCTTTTTTCGTATATACTTAATGAAATAATTTTAATACTGTATTTAGCGGAACCCAGTAAATGTAATTAAGGTTTTTAAATTTTTTATATTTCATGCCTGATGAATTTGTAACACCGTGCATAAATAAAGATTACCTTACCTTACCTTTACCTTACTTTACCTTTACTGTTTTCCCTCATCGGTCGAGAAGAACTTTGTTTTTATGAGTAAATGTTTTGATTCGACGGGCGACATTGCTCAGCTAGACTTTTAGCGTTGCATCTAATTTGCCCTTTAACTGTTTTCACCCAACTACCATTGCTGCCCCACCCCTCTCCCCCTTCATTTCGGTAATCTCATATTCCCCTCTATGTCTAACACAACTTCGACTTTCGAGCTTGCGCATTTAACAAAAATTGACTGTTCTTGTTCGGCCGGTATTTATTATTTATTACATAACTTATTTTTTCAACACTTATTTAAAAACTTAAATAAACTGCGAGGATCTTCTTTGCATTTTTTTCTTTATTCTCCGGTTACAATAATTATATGAAGTTCACATATTTATTATCTCAATGGTTATCTTTTCATTTTCAAAAAAATATATACATTAAAATATCATTCATTAATGGAGTTCTCTATATTTTAGGTAGTCTGAAATATCACCTGTCTCTACTTCTCAGGTGTTTCGGGGAAACTTTGATCAGCATTCCATTGTCGTCCGTGAAATATTCCCTCCAATTCGAGCACGTTTCATCCGGATTCACCCTTTGACTTGGCAAAACTATTTCTGTATGCGCGTTGAGCTCTTTGGCTGTCCTATAAAGGCAAGTGCGCAAAAACAATAAGCCTCTTTTAACCAAAAAATCCATTTCCAAAGAGGCTTAATCAAAATATTTAAGAGTCGGTTTTAGGGATTTATTTTTCTCCTTTGTTTAAGAAATGAATGCTGTTGCTTACTTGTAATTTTGAAAAAAAGGGCGAGAAAATTGTTGGAAAGAGCTGAATAAGCGGAAGCTGCTGGCGAATGCCTTTCGAGGTCTTAAAACAACAACAACAAACAAACAAACAATCGGCGTGCTTAGCTGATAGCCCACATTCTATTAGGCGAAGGTGACCCTGTCAAAACCCTTAGGGAGTAGGGGGAAAGGGTGCGACGAACGTTTTAAAACATAGCCATGATTTATGGGAGCCAAAACCACTCGTTTCAGACAACATTGATTTCCTTTGTCTGTTTACAAAAAAGAGTGGATTTACTTGGACTATACCGTAAATGACGTAATAAATGCCTGGGGCATCTTTTCAATTTCAGTGGTCCAAGCGGGGACGTTTAATAGATGTGGGGCGCTTATTTAAGAGAGGGGTTTATTCTCGTAACTTAAGCCTGCGTGGCAGGCGCTCGAAAGGGAAGGGAAATAGGATTTTGACGCAGGCTACGTAACTTTAACGAACTCAACAAAACTTATGCAGTATGATTTCGGCGAAAATTCCGTCCATCTAATGATATTTCCAGGCGGTCGTTTGATACCCGTTTTCACAGCTTAATCATTTCAAAAACTGGATTACTGCGTAGTTAATATGCATATCAAAGAGCGCTATTCTGACTTTTGAAATTCAGCAAGACCTGATACACAAAATATACAAACCGCTGTTAATCAAGCAGTGAAATGGAGGTAAATTGATTGATTTTGCCCCTTTTCGGCATTTCTTAGTTTCCTAGTATTCTGGAGCAATTTTCAAGGGGGGCGTTTAGTAGAGAGGGGCGTCTAATATAATCTTAACAGCGTTGCGTTTATCCCTAGGTCATTTACGGTACGCGTATAGTCCTTCGATTTACCCTTGAAAACAATACTAAAAATACAATTGGGCTAATACGACAGGTATACGTGTACATTAAAACTGCCGGAATCCTTTCAAATTATTGCTCGCTAAATTTATTACGCAAATTTCATTTTTGTAGGGCATTTAGGCCAGCAAGGACGCACCAGATCGAGATATGTGAGAAACGAGCATGGAAAGATAGTGTAGACTTAATCATCAAACGCTAATGTAAGAGTAACCCAGTTTTAGAGATGTCAAATAAAGAATTGGTGTACGATCTTTAAAAAGCAAAAATCGATTGAGTCTCATTCGTCTTTAGCCTTTAGTATCTACGACCATTTCCTCTGAAATAAATCCGTTATTCTCTCCCTCATCACCTGTCAGCAAGTGGAGTTTTTTTTTGGTACAAAGGGTTTTTATATTCGCTCTAGACAGTAGAGTATCTTGCCCTTATAAATAAGCTCTAAGATGATCAATCATTCAGAAGAAAAGAACCAATATTATCTACTTCCTCTTTCAATTTAACAGTCGTTTATGACGTTTATAGTTCTAAAATCTAACTTCCATTTTTCCGTAGCAGAAGGAAACCGAAATTAAGGAGTTTAAAACAACTCCAAAATAGTGCACAATTGAAAATATTTTGAGAGTGAAGCCATTTCCCGAACAGCGTCTTTTAATCGAGCCTAAAAAGCTCGCTTGAATTTTAAAATCGAGACAGAAGTTTTTGGCTTTGTATTCGTTCGACATTCCAATGAGATCTGAGCGGCTTCAGAGAATCGCTAGGTTCCCGATCTAGAAGTAATTGACGTGCTTTTTTTCCTTTTTTTTTCAAACGAATGCCAAAGAAAACACCAATTTAGTGATCTTTTCTTTTACTATTTTATCGGATGTGATAGCCCCTTTGTCTGCCGTGCTTGTAGGCTGTATAAAAGTCCCACTCTTGGGATAATTATCGCTTTTGATAATTGAAAATGAATTTACATCGTGCCGGGGCCTTTCTGCATCTTCACGGAAACTTGTTATCAAAACTTCGTTGGCTATCTCAGGAAAACCAAACCTTTCCTAGAGATTTTTCATGACAACTTCTTTAAACTTTGATAAGAAATTTTTCATCCGCACAAGAGAACTTCAGCTGCGCAGGACGAGACAACTACTTTGATGGTGACCTCTAGATTGAATTGGCTAATACCTCCCGATGCATCAAGATTGCGCAAGCATGGTGGAAAGCTAAGAGAAGGCGTTAGCAGTTGTAAGTCAAAGAACATCTCGCACTTCCTTTAAATTGTACATTTCAATTTCTTGCATGGCGTGCTGATTGACTGAGGGGGGAAAAAAGCGCTCAAGCAAACCGCAAAATCGCAAATTAAATTAGAACACGCAAAAATTTTTAAGCTTAACAGGTGTAATCAATATCTTATGTGTATCCTATAATACAAGCTACAGATTTTTAATAAATACAAATTTAATTAACTCTAAGCGATGTGCACTTGGTGAACTTGGTTGTTTAAATGGCCAAACTGTGTAAGTTTCCGCCATTCAGTGAATCCTGGCAGCGTGCTTGACAGCAATTATACACGATTCCAGTCTTCCGTTCGTGAAGGTTGCATAAGGGTACCGCTATCTCCTTAACTTTTTTTTTCTTTGGTTACCCTATTGACCCACAGGCGTTATTACTCGTGAGAAAATGAAACTAGTAATTTCGCGTTACTATAACCTCTACTTCGCTGACACCCCAGGACCGGCCAATCAGCGTGGCCGATAGAGGGTTGTCTTTTGCGTTAGTGTCAAATATAGCAGAGCCACAATTCACTTGTTGACTCAAAAAGACGCTGAACGCAAGCTACTCAGCTTCAGAACACTAAGCGCTACTCACTCACTACTCGCTACTAAATACTACTCAGCTTCAGAACACTAAGCAGAGGGAAAAGAAATGAACATCGTGTCCTCCATATCCACGGTTTTCACAATCCTTTTGGTATTGGCAAGTGCCTATTTCAGCAGTGATCATGAGCAGTCAGAGATCTCGCGAGACAAGGTGAGCGATTTTTTTTGCCATGGTTTAACGTTTCTTAAGTTTTGGCGATAAAGTCACGTAGAATTGTTCTTTCATTTGTTGTAGGTCCTTGGAAGACTCTAAGCTATCACGACAGAAAAGAAGTATCGAGTTAAACCCATCATTAAGTAAGTTAAAAAGGTTTTGACTTTTTTTTGTCTTGTCATGTCGTGTGTTTTTCGTAGACTGTTGTTGTTGCTGTTTTCTCTTCTCATCGTAAAGGAAAATAAAAACACGCGAAACGCCGGCGGTTAGGGACAAGGTTGAAGGGGGGGGGGGGGTGGGGAGGGAGGGGTTGAGAATAGAAAGACTTCGAGTTGATTTTAAAACTACTCCCCATCCCGACCCGATGCCATTAAAATTAAACTATTTTTAGGAAGACATTGAGAGAAGGGGATACAAACAAGAGAATTAAATAAAATAGAAAAACATTAATAAAACATTAATTTTTTTTCTATAGAATTACCACGGACGGTAACTGAGCGCCAATCGCAACCTCAAAAGCAGCTTTTGAAGGAATATCGCCTTGTATTGATTACGAAACAGAAGGGGGAATTGGTTAAAGGCAATTGCCTGTATGAAATCGAAATATTCGCCAGTTATAGGAAAGAGAAAAAAAAGAAAGACTAAAAAAGAATTTTGGAACTCCATGCCAAAGATGGACCAATATTCAATACGTGCGGCCGCAGTGAGACATAGAGATTTTTACCACCAGCATGTAGGACAATAATTAACTCAAGGTTTTTTAGGACAAATTGAATTGTCTAATTTCGTGTAACTATGAACGACCATAAATCGTGCCTTATTGTTTCCTTGCTTGTATATTTTGTTCTAGACCGACCACTGGCACGTTCTAATAGGACAGGCTTCTCGAACAGATTACGATCTATTACGATCTATTACGATCTCAGTCCTTTTGGAACTTTCCGAGTACCTCAATTACATTAGTTACGTAGGGTTAGTGCCTTCACATTGCACATTCTTTACATTCTTCTGATTTGTTCAGTTAAGTCCAGTTTTTTCATCTTTCGCCTTGCTGCTGAAAGCCGATCTTGGCGTCTTCAGTCCTTTAGTTCTGCGGTATATATGTTGGCTAGCATAAATGTAACGCAATGACAGCGTGATCGAAATAATTATTCTGAATTCTGAATGGGTTTTTAAAATAGAGATTTGGATGTTCCCACGACAAATTGAACTTCTCTGGACCGTGATGATGATGATGTACGCTCAAAACTTATCTTAAAACTTTTGTTCCAGAGTACGGCTGTTCCCTTCCGCTTGGTTTGGAAAGCGGCCAAGTGCCTGATACTGCATTTTTAGCCTCTTCCGTTGCAGGATCGAAAAATGGCCCAGAACAAGTGAGGTTAATTATACGTACTGATGGGAAAGGTTTCGTCGGTTGGGCTGCAAAAGAGAACAACGACAGTCCGTGGCTTCAAATTGACCTTGGGGAACTGGTACGAGTTACTAAGGTGGTAACACGGGGGAAGCAGGACGCTGCTCATTGGGTCATACAATTCAGTCTTTCGTACAGCTTGGATGGAAGGCACTGGGCCGAATACAAGGAAAACAGTGTCGCACGGGTCAGTCAATTCTTAAACTCCTTTCATGTATTATTTTTAGGTGGAGTAAAACTCCCTCGGAAGATTTCCGCATGCAGCCGTGGTTTGTGCCAGAGTTATCATCTTAATCATTTAATTGATAGGTAAGCTCATTATTAATACAACCTTACAATAGCAGCGGAATCTCCTGTTGGTTAGTGCGAGTTTCAGAAGTTTCCAGAGTCTCGGCGGACAAAAATGTCAGTAAATCGCTGAGAACCCCTCTTTCCCTTTCCTGGGGTCGACCACCTAATGACTGTAATATTGTTTATTTTTTTTAAAGGTCTTTATAGGTAACAAGGACAGAAATACAGTTGTGGAGCATTGGAGTTTTTTGCCCGACTTATTCGTTTCCATCCTGAAGCATTGAATGAACTTGTACGGCCGCGGGTATAGAAGCGTACGGCTGTAGAAATGGTACGTTTATACAATCATTTTTACTTGCCTTTGCCATACGTTTTCAGATGTTTAAAACTCATTAATAATTCATAAAGAAAAAAACAAAAAAGTTTAAAATGCTTAGTGAGTGTCTTTATATCTGCTATACTTCAAAATAACCCCAAATCTTAATATTAGTACAAGGCTGCTTAATTACATCCGATTTGTGGGAAAATATGCCCTTTTTGTTGCAAAACTTATTTTTGGCTATTGCTATGCTAATTAGCCGAAAACTAGTCCAAAATAAGTGGAATTAGTGAAAAATGCGGATTTTTTTGGCTACCCGCTGCCCGTCATGATTATCAAAGATTTAAAACTATTCAAGGATGCACAAATGAATTACATTATATTTTTATTTCCTTGATATTTAATCAGTGAGCGATTAATTCTCAGTTAATATGCATTCAGTCAACTCTCTCTTATCGGACACCTCTCTAACACGGACACCCGGTGTTGGTCCCCGTCGTTTTTCGATCAGTTTACTTTAACTATACTCTCTATAAGGCGGACACCCCTCTAAGACGGACACCCGGTGTTGGTCCCTGTCGTTTTTCGATCATTTTACTGTAACTATACTCTCTATAAGACGGACACCTCTCTAAGACGGACACCCGGTGTTGGTCCCTGTCGTTTTTCGATCATGTTACTGTAACTATACTCTCTATAAGACGGACACCTCTCTAAGACGGACACCCGGTGTTGGTCCCTGTCGTTTTTCGATCATTTTTCTGTAACTATACTCTCTATAAGACGGACACCTCTCTAAGACGGACAACGGACACTTGAGAAGTGCTTTATGCAGCAGTGAAAAATAGCTCCAAGACGGACAGTTAGGGTCGGTCCCGAAGGTGTCCGTTTTAGACAGAGAGTTGACGGACACCCGGTATAACTATACTCTGCTCGAACCTCCGGACAACGGACACTTAAAGGTGTTAACTCAAAGTTAATTGAAGATGATTGTTTATAGGTTGAGCAAACTTTTTATTATTACAGTCGACTCCCTGTAACTCCCGGTAGCTCCCGGTAGCTCGAACCTCCCGTTAACTCAAAGTAATTTTCATTTCCCTTCAGATCATTTTCCATATAAATTTACCCTTGATAATTCGAACTTTTTTCTATTTCCCTTGAAGGTTCGAATTATCGGGAGTCGACTGTATTTAATTTTTTATATGTATCACCGTCAGTAAATAAAATTTTCTCTCATAGATACTTGACAATACAGTCGACTCCCGGCAACTCGAACCCTCTACAGCACGAACCTCCCGTTAACTCGAAGTAATTTTCATTTCCCTTCAGATCATTTTCCATATAAATTTACCCTCGATAACTCGAACTCCCGATAACTCGAACTTTTTTCTTTTTCCCTTGAAGGTTCGAATTATCGGGAGTCGACAATAACTTCATTTCCATTTGCAATAGATACGTTCAGTCTAGGTGTAATTGAAATTACTTGTTAACGACCTGAATTTCATGCATTTCAATCATTTTCATGATTTTATAGGTATTTGGTGGTAACATTGACCGTAACACTCCAGTTTATCATCTTCTTCATCCACGGATCTATTGCAAGCAACTTCGATTCCAACCGTGGTCTTGGTCAACGGTAGCCTCCCACGCAGGCGTTTTTAGGGGAGCTCGTATTTCTTCCCTCCCCACAAACGCCTGCTCAACAGAGGACAACATTCCTTTCCCTTTGTTGCATTCGCGTGGTAAGTGACCAATCAACGGTTTTTAAATAAAGTGTTGACAGGCTAAACATGACTCATAAGCTCGTGATAGTGAAAAAACGTGACCCAGAACGTGACCCTAGAGTTACCTTTTTCCTTCTTTTCTTTCGTTCGCTAAGGTTATGCAGTGCACAGAGAATTCTAAAATCTGACTGAGTAAATCTTACTTTTGCCGCTCTGAGACTAACATTTATTAGAGGACATGAAGGTTTCTTAAAGTTTCATGCAGATCGCGTGATTATCGGGTTACCCTGCAGTCAAGGTCAACTTTCCAGAATTTGGAAAGTACAACGTGATTGGCTAACGGTGGGAAAGGAATGTTGTCCTCTGTTGAGCAGGCGTTTGTGGGGAGGGAAGAAATACGAGCTCCCCTAAAAACGCCTGCGTGGGAGGCTAGGTCAACGGGTGTCTGTATGAGAATCGAAGTATACGGTTGTCAAAAAGGTAAATAGATGTTACAACACGATATTAACGACTCATTCACGAGAGGCAGCACGCATGGCAGTGTACCGTATTTTCTAATCCTCCCAATTTATAAAAATTTGGTCAAAAACGGGGATAAGGGAGCGTAATCAAAGGAGGCGCGCTTATCGTCGTCGTTATCATCATCATCGTCATCATCGTCATCATCATCATCATCATCATCACCAACTACTCAATATTCAAAAGTGACTGTCACGAAAGTGATTGCTTAAACATAAATATTCAGACTTGGCAACCATCGCTTACAAATTGAAACGGGCAGACATACAGTCCGAAAACTCTAGAAAATCTTCGAATTTACCCCTTCTGCCACTTAAATGAAGTTGAACACAAATTACACTTTCTATTCAATTGTAATCTTTACGATAGTCTTTGATCTAACTTTTACAGAAACATTAGTAATAGATAGCCCCTTTTCAATAATTTTGACAACACTGAAAAAGCCCTCTTCATATTCAACAATGTCGATCCTCATATCTACAGACTTACAGCTGCTTACATACATTCATGTATGAAATATAGACAAAAACGTGTTCTTTAATTATAGCCTTTATTGTAACCTAAATAATGTAGGTAATACCATGTACTCACGCGGGAATACTGAAATAAAGTTGTTGTCATCATCATCATCATTATCATCACCGTTATTAAATGAAGAGAAGTTCTTCGCGATTAAAGACGCAACTTTAATATGCAGTTGCAAAAAGAAAGCCTGAAAAAATTCAGGTTTTCCGAGATTTGAACCCTGATCTGTGCGATTCATTAAATAGATTCTTAATACACTCGGGAAATTGATGAAATTATCATCATTACAGTTATTTTATATTCCCCTAACCGACCCTGAGCTGTAATAAGGTCGGCGATCGCTGGGAACGATGACATACGTCTTATGTAACTAGAATCAGATGCAGTAGAGAAAGAAAGCGATATTGTTATGAATAGAATTACTCTCATCATCCACATTTCGAGCAGCATTATTGGCATCGTTGGTAAAGTCATCATCAACTTCTCCTTCTCCTAATAATCGTCGCTATTTAACCCAAGTTCTACAAATAGGCGCCACTTTGGCTATTAGCGGAGTGCGACGTATTGTACTGAATACTCATTTAGGGATGGGAGATGTTTATACTCTAAAGATCCTTTCAGTGGTAATAACAGAGAAGGAAAAGGAAAGACATAAAAGGGCAAGTAAGGACATTAAAGGACGGAGAAAGACCAATAAGGACATAAAAGGACACGTACGGACATGAGAGGACTAGTGAGCATTCTGAAGTCAGCCAAGCGCGGTCATTGCACGCCCGCTGAAGAAGAATGCTGTATCATGACAGACTAGAAACAACGGACAACTTCCAAAGCACAAACTCAGCCAAAACGCTAAAAATCTTCAATGTTTACTCAAGTTTGGGCTTATAGAAGATAACGTCACAGTTTTTCAATGACCATGAAATTCAGAATTCGGATAGTTAGTTAATCAATTGTGGCCCTGAAAAAATTTGAACGAAAAAAAACTACGAATTTTTTAAAAAAATGCTTTTCTCGTGAGAAGGACTCTTAAACGCTGACAAATGTCAACAAATAGCTAAAACTATAATTTCTATATGTTTGCATTGCTCGAAATGGCGCGCTTTTACAAGGCGCTAAAGTTTTTTGCTGACTTGCAAGGTCTCATCTGTTATAACGATCCCCAAAATAAAGGGATAAAACTCATAGTCTATTAGATATAATCGTGTAAAGTTTGCTTATAATTTTTGCATAAATTATGGCCTAAATTTGGAAACCGCTGAATTTCTCGCGTTGGGTCCTTGCGATTTTGGTGATTTTCGGTTCAACGCAAGGTACTAATACCCACTATATGTAGCCGAGCGATTTTCACGAACAAATGCCGGCAACAGCAGAACTTCAACTCAGACTCCAAAGAGGCGTGGCACTATAACCACGTGACATTTACTCCGATGACCAAACATTTTATGCTATATTGTAGATTGATCTATATGTTTTCCATGCTATATGTTAGACTCACGATCAAATTTAAGGTGGGGATACCAGAGAGCGTCAAAGTAGGATGGTACCCTCACAAAATAATTGGGTCGAGACACCTTAACACAACCCAATCTAACAGAAACTGTTTTAACCCACCTTGATATTTCGCAATCGAAAAAGTGTTAAACGGAGAAAGACCAGAAAAGAAGGAGGCGAGAGGTATGGCAGAGGGGATAATAAGGATTGGGAGGTTAAAGGCCACAGCAAATCAGGGATGATGGTAATGATCCTGTTTCTCTTTTAAACACTTTTAGTTGGCAGCGTCTGATTAGTCTTTCAACATCGTTGCGTACATTCTGTGGGGTTCCGGTTACACAAATTAAAATTATTGATATGTAGGTATGACAATTTTTATTTTATAGGGCATTTAGAAGACAGCTTTTCCACACGGCACTGACCATACGAAAAAATACCACGGAATGGTGATAATAGAATTAAATGATAGTAAATGAATGAAATGCAATGAATGACACATACTGATTGTAATAAGTAAACGAGCTATATGTATTGAAGCCAGGCTGTATAATTAAGACCACACTAACTTACATTGTTAAATAAAAAGATACCACCATTGAGAAAGTTAAGTGTGTCTGAAACGAGTTCTTCTCCTATAGTGTATGTATCAAAGATAGCTTTGCTAACTAGTCTACGGGTGTACAGTGATGATTTTGTTTGTTTGTTTTGTTTTGTTTTGTTTTTTTTCTAGGGTACATTTTTTGTTTTCATTTGCGGAATTATTTGATTTGACGCATCAGCTCTTGATAGTTATAAAGTATTGTTATTTACATGGACTAATAATTATCAATTATTATCATAAATCGTAAATAACAAAGGAGCTTAAGGAGCTTAAAGAGATGGTAGCTGCCAAGGCAATCCACGTAACGCGCAATCGAATCTCCAGCGAATCTACTACTTGTTCTCAGCTGCTTGCTTGTTAATATCTCCAGAGTGGTTTATGTCCTCTACTTCGTTGGACAGTTTCTTTGAGGGTCGAATAAGACGCCATAAAAGAGCGAGGAACTCAACTAGAGTGATAATAGACGCTCCAATGCAGAGGCCAAGTTGACCACCAATGGCTCCCACCAAAACTGCAAACTGCAAGTAACGAACAAAGATATAAGTGTGGTGTTTTCTTGTTTGTTTGGCTTTGTATTGGTTTTGCTTTTGTTACGACAGGAGTAACTAAAATGCAATAGCTGAAAGTGCGTTAATTTTCTTAGGAAATCTCGCAGTTATAGAAGTCTGTAGGCTTCTGTTTCGGTTCTGTAAATGTGAGCTCTTTGTGCAACAAGAATAACAGTAAACTGTTAGAGTCGAAAATGTAATGTTCAAATGACAACAAACATAAATGGAAACAAGTTTTCCTTGAGGAAAGATGATTATACACATTACATAATGTGCGGGTAAAACTATTTTGAAAAGTGGACCAATTGTTTATTGAGTGTGAAGAATGTCCTTGATGCCTCTAAATTGTGAGTTATAAACTATAACGATTGCACGAGTAGGCAATTGAGTTGCGGAATTTTTCACAGGGCAAATATTCTTTCAGCCACTTTTTTAAACACAAGGTTTAAACATAGAGGATTATGCAAAGTACGTTGCATCATCATCATCGCTTCATCGTTTCTTTATTATTTATTGACTTAGTTTATTTATTTATTTATATTATTTATTTAATTATTTATTTTTTGCTGCAGTAACGTAGATTGTGACTATATGTGATTTGTCGTAGTGTATGCCATGATATATCTTGCCAACAGGAGGCCCCCTACCGTCATCGCCTTTTTTTGATCAATGTGTTCTACCGTCATGGACGCGTAGTAGATGTTTACTTGTGCCATGTTCTTCCTGGAAAATGAAATCGTACAAGTACCGTAAATACTCTATTAATTAAGCCCCTCCTCTCAAATAAGCCCCACCTCCTTTTCAGGGAAAGAAAGTTAATTAGCCCTCTTTCCCCTCGTCCTTATTGTTCTTCACAAATGAATAATAGACTGTATTAATCAATCATGACTGTAAAACTTCGTGTGGACTGATCTGGGATGGTTTATTCACTAACTGAAAGTTTGGATTTGATTTTGATCCTCGGCTGCATGACCTCCAACTTCTTGTACTTGAGCTTTTCCACTTTGTATTGTAGTTCTTTATAGAGAACCGATGCCATCGTCTTCGCTAAATGAAGCCCTGCGCCCCTCTCAAATAAGCCTCCCGTCTCTACTAAGCCCACCCCCTCTCCCTCAAATATGTTTCAAATGAGTAAGCCCCCCGTTAGATTTAATAGAGGATTTACGGTACTAGGAATAGACAAGCATCGCTGTTCTCACGTTTGGTGACACCACTAGAGAAACTTTTTTTTGTTTTTGTTGCGACTGTTTTACGGAAATAAATAAATCCTAATTCTCTCTAGGCATTACATGTTGCTGTTTAGTAGCAAACTTCATAAGTGTCGTCAACGAAAGAAAACTTTGGGAATGCCCGTAAAATTCAATAATTTCAAGTCTCTTTTCTGTGGGTGTCTCCTCACCTTGCCACTGGTGGGAACTCGAACTTCTTGTCTACCACTTTCAAACAACTGCTAGTATCTTTGGAAACTAACTTTGGAAAAGATATTCCTAACCAGGGAAAACTGAAGGGGGCATGCGAGGTGGGTGGGGGGTGGTTTGCATTTCCATCATATATGACCCTATAAGGGTTTCATTGAAATTGTTACCTGGCTGATTCCAAATCTTTCACCACTTCTTTCACACGCCTGGTCCCAGTCTTATTCAGGAGTCCCGACAACATTGGCTGCAGGTGCAAAAATCATTTGTACTAATCATAATAAAAGTAGGAAAGAACAGGTGGATCTTCAGTTATTCAGGCGTTTATGCGGATAAAAGTTTGCAGCCATGCAGGCCGTCGAAGGGGCGGAATAGAGGCTGACGATTGTTTAGTTAAGAAACATTTGCTGCTTCTGATCCTGTTTCATACGCTTTTTGCACCATAAAGGGCGAAACACATTTTTTTGCGGGGAGGGAGGGGATAAAAAAAGGATTGACTTCGCGTAACTTGCATATTTATGTACCGTTTCCTATAGCAAACGACTGCCATCAAATTTTGTAAAAAAAGGTGACTAAGGACTAATTAAATTGCTAATGAAAAGAAAAGTTTCTGGCGCAGAATCGTGTTAAAAAATAAAACAAACAAATCCTAACCTTTGACCTCTCTATCCCCGTTGTTAGAGATACCCTGGTTTTGCTCCAGGTTTTCATTTAACCCCGTTCGTTTGGTTTGTCAAATAGCTTTATATTTAATATTGGGATAATACAATAGACACTAGTGCCGTCTTACCATGTGTTCTTTGGAAGGGCCAAGCAGACGACGAAACACTCGTTAGAAAATGAAATTCGCTACAGACAGACATTTGAAATCACATATTAGAGAGCTCTTCCCTTAAAAAAAAAAAAATTAGAAAAGAAAAAAAAGAAAGAAAGAAAGAAAACAAAGCACAGTTTTTCCTTAGTATCACATTACGCATCCTTTCCAAGCGATTATGGTCACCTATCTTATGTTGATATTATTAGTATTGTTGTTATTTTAATTTTAATTTTTTAATTTGCAGTAACTTTCTTTCTAAAATTAATATAGACTAATCCTTAGTGCAATGAAAGAAAAATTCTTCGGAAATGTTTTTAAAGCATGTACTCGTTAATATTATCATAATTATTGGTATGTTCATTTAAGGTGGCTGACACAGTTTTGCGGGCGGTCAGCGGTAACTCGCGTAACGGCGCGTGTTTTAAATTAGACAACGAACAAACATGGCGGCGAAAAAAGCAATGGTGCACAGACGACGATTTCTCAAAATCTACTCGTTAAAAGTTTGTGATATTTGGTAGAATTGTTACTTTTATCGTATTTTAAATAATGAGAACTTTAAAATGGAAGTTGAACAGACGAATTTTGTGACACATTTAATAATTACAGTACAATTATATCGTTAATTATCTAAAAACCTGTCTGTTAAAAATTTGGTCAAATAAGTTTCAAATGGTAATGGTTAATTATAGTAAGCTGTGTGCAAGTTTATAGGAAAATCTAATGAGCGAATTTTATGTAAACTGAGCAAAAGTGAAACGTTAAGGTTGTATTCAATCGTTCCTGTTGCCATGGAAACCATGAAAACGTCAAATTTTACCTGTCAATCAAAATCTTTCATCAGTTTATTTTTCACTTGCTAAGTTTCAGCTTGTGAGCTGCAACCTTTCTCTTGCCATAATTTGGCAAATGACATATACTCACAAACTGCCAAAACTGTGTTCAGACACCTTAATTGCTGCTGCTCGTAACGAGCATTATTTGATTTATTTTAAAATTTAAGTGGAAATTTAAATCTCTTTCAGGCTGTCTCTATAAATAAACTTTTTACAAAAACCTCAGAGCAGGTTCTATTTCAGGGGAATGACCTTAACAGAGCTTACATAACGAAAACGGAACGAGGCGTAAGACTTCAGAGGTCCGTTCTCAAGATATTAAGACTGCGTCAACCATGCTCGTGGTTTGATAAAACTCCCGAGACGGGCCTCGGTGGGTTCTAGAGCTTCTTAATTAATTGAAGCACTTTTTTGTGTCTTAATACTTCTTTTGAACTTACTTGCAGTTGGGATCGCAAGGGCAAGCGTCAAATTTTATCTTTAGGCGCGATTTCTCGATACATTCAGCTGGGGAAAGATCACACCATATGATCTCAAGTATTACATAAACGTTATTAACAAAGATTTTACCCTCACACGTACGCCATTTGTTTTTTTCATCCTATTTGTTTGTTTTTCCTTTTTCTTTTAACATCTATTTGTACATACATATACTTGAAGCTTGTTTTTGGTTAGTATTTTATTCATCATTCTAAGCAATACACTGAGTTCCTCGTTCAGCGGTAACGATGAATATGGTTCTGGTGATGATGATAATGATCGTGATGACGTCTCTTTCGCTTTTCTTTTTCTCGTATACTCTTGTATTATTCTTTTCACTTTTTCTTTTTCGTTTTTGCACTTGCACGTTCAGCCTTATCTCTCTTTATCCTATTTAATGATTATTTTATATGTTCTAAAGAAATGGAATGTGCTTAGCTAAATTGTCTTTCCCGATGCCAGTATTTTATTTATTAATTAGGTAATATATTAATTTTTATAGGTGGTCCTATTCATAAGCCGTATTGGCTTCTTTGGGCTCCCTTGCGTCATCTTCTTTTTTTGATTTTATGTATATACATACAGCAAGGATCCCAAAAGTGTGACTTTCTGTAATTAAGTCACATTCTTTCGTGCAGAAATTAGCCAATCAGAAGTCGAAGATAGTTTCCAGCTGGCTGCTGACTGGATTAAATCTGTACCAAAGAATGTGAATACATCAAAAGCAGTCACACTTTTGGGCTCCTGGCTGTAACTTATGTGGCAAAATGATAATAAAACTGATAATAAACTCGTCTGATGATGATGATGATGATGGTGATGATGATGATGTTTTTATAGATAAGGATAATGTTTATATAAAGTTAAAAACGATAAATGAAGTATTAGAACATCACCTGACGTTTCGTTTAAAGGATCGCAAAGTGGTTCTCCATGCAAATCCATTGGCACGCAACCACAATCTTGTTTTATCTTCGCGACAATACATTCTCTGAGACAGATCTAAGAGTGCAGGGAAAAAAACAATGGATAGAAATCGTGCCTTTCTCTACTTTTCAGGGGTCCGACTGTTTTTTAAGACTAAGATGGATCCTAGAAACCTTGTCATATTTAACATTAGATTATGCAAATATTACGAGATTAGGCGCTGCTTGAAGGCCATTTCAGCAGTTGGAAGTTATGTCCTGCATCACAATTCAAACAACTCCTCGAAAGGGAACGAAACTGGAATAAATAATTTATAAGCTTGAAGACTGAAGAGTCCTGCAGTATGGAAATATCTTGGACGGTCTCTCAAAACTTTTTTTAGTTCCATTCATAGCGTACTTCGAATGAATTTTCTTGGCTGTAATTTAGTTTCATTATCCCACTAATTAATAAAAGGATAGAAAGCATTCTTACGCAAAACGTGATTGTAAACTTTAAAACAACATAAAAAGCGGGATATAGAACTTACCCACTGATTGTGTTTACTGCTTTGATTGCAATGTTCCTTGTTATAAGGATAGTCCAAACGAGATATATATTGCTGGAAATTCAAAAAAGTGCAAATTTGGGTGAAAACTTATCCTTAGGAGCCAGCAGGGAGAGGTAAAGGGAAAAAAAAGTAAATCAGTCAATCAATCAATAACAGCCACCGTTGAGCCAGCCCCTACTTGTTTATCGGCCAATGAAGCACTTCCAAGGAAGTGGTTCTAATCAATAATATGTGTGCTAACTGAGTGTTTGAGGGCCCTCTGAGTTTTTTCTGAGTTTTATGCTAGACGATTAAACATTAACACCTGACGTTTTCAGTAGCTGTTCGTTTATCCTTCACGCGCATTTTGAGACAAGTTTAGTGATGATCAGTTACTATGGTTACGAGATATGATGTCATAAGTAGCAGGTGGTCAAGCCATTGAAAATGCATTTTTTTAAAAATGTTTTCAGTTATAAAAGGAAATCTTGTAGATAAAACGAGGCTAAGTACTTATTTATGTGTTATCTTCAATGACAATCGCACAAAATTGACAAGTCTCGCCGTTTTTAACTCATTTCTAACTGTTGGTAAAATCCAAGATGGCGACCATGTTTGTTGACATCACCGCCCACCCGCAGCGCCAACGGCCATAAATTATACCTCATTTTGTCGAGAAGATCAAAAGCTTTCCAATGAAGTACCGAAATACCGCAACATATAAGAAAATTAAACCTCTGGGGAGGAGTTCCATCAACCCACCCCCCCTTAAACCACAGAAAGGGTACGACTTTCCATTTACGTCCGAGGGTTAAATATTCGACTCGCGCACTGTTAACCGAGATGTACGGATGGTAGGAAAGTTGGCATGGCGTAAAACAACATTTTAAGCGACCTCTCATGTAAAAGAAATTCACTGTCCTCTCTCTCTTCGTAGGCTAAAGTCAATTGAACGAACAAGTAAAGAACGAGAGTTTCCTTTTTTCTCTTTCTTTTTTTAATTCTACTTTGTTTTGGAATTTTTTGTTTTGTTTTCGTCGGTTTTTAATTCTATTTTTGTGCTTTTGCTGTGCTTTTTGCTTTTATAGCTAGCTTTAACAGTGGTTTGACTCGCAAACGTTAAAGGGCTATGTCACGAGGAATTAAACTGTTACTTTAGGTTAGTCCTGTGAAGGCAAATAACGAGATATATGTTTTTCTTGTTCTTAATGTTGATGCTGCTGGTTGTTTTTTTTGGCTTGTTTGTTTGTTTTTTGTTGTGCTTTGTGTTGTTACAACCCAATTTCATCGAAAGGACAAAGATAGATTAATCGCCTTACCGCATTTAAAGAGACGGAGACAAAAGATCCGGGGGCAACGTAGATCGGGTTTTCTCCTATGGTGTTGGATTTAGTTAAAGGCAAATATACCGATACGACTGCACCAACCGAGTCAGCAAGTGGACCCACGTACTCGGCAGCGTCTACAAACAACGTCACTTTGAAGCCTGAACAATGTAAAGAAAAACAAATTAAGCGCACCATACGCCCGGAATAGACTTTTGTCACGTGGCGGCTATTTTGTCTCAGGAAATTAAAAAAGCTTTTTTTATGCACGGCTGTACTCGTAGAGAGAACGATCGAGGCTAGTCGTGCATAAACAAAGCTTTTTATATAAATCTCCTGAGACAAAATGGCCGCGGCGTGACATATGTCTATGAGCTTTAACAAACTTGGTAGCTACCTTACGTTGCGTTTGTAACATAATACTAATCTTGTACAATATCAGAGCTAGAATCAATTGTATTGCACCCCTTAGTTTAAATGGGGCTGTTGTAATCCCCTTCCCCCTCCTGGAGGTTTTGCTTTTGCAAGGTGATAGAAATGTTGGTGTCGTGGGCAATAGTCATGTCAATGAGAAAACAGGTTTTGTCCTTCTTGCTCTTTAGCACAATGTCCGGCCTATTAGCTACGATGGTCCTGTCAGTGTACATGGGCGTCCCACAAAATGGTGACGCTATCCTTCTCGGTGACAAGTCTTGGGTTCATGCTCATACCATCGTTCCTTCAGTTCAATCCCAAACCCTTTGCAGATGTTCCGGTGCATGTATGCAGCTGCCTTGTTGTGGCGGTGGAAGTTTTCAGTTTTTCCCAATTCAGGGCAGCCAGAAACCAGATGGTCAAAGGTCTTGTCGAACGGCCACAGAATCTGCATTTTACCAAAATCATTATCATCATCACCACCACCACCACCATTATTTTCATCCTTGTATTCCAAACTAACGTGCTATTGCTGCACCTGCACCTGCACCTATCCCGTAGTCAATGAGCGTTGGGGCGCCACAGACGTTGCAACCGTCTCCCTCCATTTTATTTTGTTCTCAGCTTCTCTTACGGTGTGGCAAAACTTCAACCCTGTCCATTCAGCGATGTTGTTTTCCCAACCCTTCTTTTGTCGGCCCCTTCTTCTTCCCCTTGCACTGTTCCTTGTAAAATCGTCTTGGCAAGCCCTGATGATCTTGATACATGCCCAAACCACTTTAACTTCCGTTTCTTAACCGTGGTTACGATATCATCATAGGGCCCAATGGCTTGCCTGATTCTGTCTCTCACTGCATTGTTAGTGATGTGATCTCTGTATGAGATGCCAAGCAGTGTCCAGCTTTCGCAGGCGTACAATAGTACAGAGATAACAAGGGAGCGCATTAGTCTGATCTTTGAGCTTAGAGAGATATGCTTATCACTCCAGATGGTCTTGAGCCTAGCTAGTGCTGTTGTCTGTGCAATTCTGGACAGTACTTCAGGCTTGGAACCCTGATCTGTGACGACTGCGCCCAGATACTTGAAGCTATCAACCTCGTCCAATTTTTCACCGTTGATTCTGATGTCAATGCTGATACCATTCGCGTTATTAGTCATCAGTTTGGTTTTCTCTGCACTGATGATTTCCATGGCAAAGGCTGCAGAGGTCTTATCCAGGCGATCCACCAGGGAGGCTAGTTCCTTTTCCTGCCAGGCCGTCAATGTCATCAGCAAAACGTAAGTTGGTAATTGTTCTGCCTTCGATGCTAACTGTTCCTTGTTGATCTTCTAGTGCGTCAGTCAAAGATGTCTAGTAGCCTTGTTGTAGAGGTTTTCAATGACTTGGATCAGGTTGGCGCTGATGTTGTAAAGCCTCATAGTAGACCAAAGGGCTTTTTTCCATACTCTGTCAAACGCCTTTTTAAAATCGATAAAGACGTGGTAGAGGTCTTGTTGATGTTGGAGGTACCTCTCGCACAGTATCCTGAGATTGAAGATCTGTTCTGTCGTACTGCGACCTGATCAGAAGCCTGCCTGTTCTTCTGCGATGATTGATTCTGCCTGATGCTTCAGGCAGTGTTACTTAAGGCAGGAGCTAACATATGAAAAAATCCCCAGTTCCGGATCGGATCTCTTACAAAAGGAATAAACACTGAATCCGAATAAATAATAAAATAAGCTGCGATACAAGTTGATGACAGACTGATAAAACAAGGGGTGATTTCTGAAATTTCTCCGGCATATTTGCTATGTCAATGAAAGCCGATGCCAGAAATTTCAGTAAAAAATATCAGCAAAATTATTTACTAGAACACTAGGGTCCTTTTAAACCCTAATTTAGCAAAATATATTTACCATCAATGAAATCGGAATATTTCGTACTATTGCCGAATGATATCTGTCGTTCTTCGCAAAGTTTCGCAGCCATCGCTCTAAAAACGAAAAAGTTATGACAGAAAATTTGTGACAGCTAAATGCTCTAGTATTAATGACGGAGCCACCTTAACCTTTCATAACCATCAAGAATATTTCAGTTTTCGTTGACCTCTGGCTCACAAACGTGACTGACCGTTTATCAAAGTTTCGCAGCCGTTACCTTGTTGATGACCAGAGCGTTGCACGAATAAATTGCTAGTGTTTATCGTGAAGCAGTTTCCATACTCCATGTCAAAAAACTGAGAAAAATCCCTTGAAAAAGAAAAGAAAGAAAAAAAGGTTCAAAATACATCTTTAAGGTTTAGTGTTACTTAAGGCAGGAGCTAACATATGAAAAAATCCCCAGTTCCGGATCGGATCTCTTACAAAAGGAATAAACACTGAATCCGAATAAATAATAAAATAAGCTGCGATAAAAGTTGATCACAGACTGATGAAACAAGGGGTGAAAAAGTAAGCAAAATTGTAAAAGAACAACTCTTCTATGTGGACTAAAAGCAAACAACAAAAACGTAAAGAGATTGAACGTTGTATACATTTGAAAACATTCGATGGAAAGTTTGCATATGCTTATACGTCTAGCTTAAGTGTGATACTCACTTGTGAGAGCAGCTGTGGATGTGTCCAGTTCCAGGGAAGATGCAACTGGTTATGAAGTCCTCTCCTTGATGGCCGACTCTCCAAGAATTCTCTCCATATATCGAGAACACATTTGAGATTATGTGGCTCTTAAATTTTCTGAAATCTTTTTGAAAAGATGGTTGAACCTTTCAGATTAATGTCTGAAGTTGCCCTTAACCTGTTTTTCAAAGCGAGGCTAAGTGCGAATTAAGATATTGATATGAAAACGATTTTTAGTGCAAATGCAAATAAAACATATTTTCACAAGAAAGTTTGCACTTAGCCTCATTTTGATGGTGAGAGTTTTTGGAACGCGGCAATGGCCTAATTTACACTAAGGCCAAGGCCAAACGTCGAACGTTTCATGAGAGGAACCATGAATGAGTTTGGATAGTCCAACATGTTCTATCCGTCTGCTACAAACGGGTAGAACGTCTGAAGATCGTCTCTGGGACAAGCGTCGATCTTCACACGCGACCAACTTACAGTAACTAATGAATTAAAAATTTGTTCCTATTTAACCTCGTTCGGGAGAAAATTTATTTGAATCGCTTTCTGGTCTGATTCAGTTGATTGGTGGCCCCCATTTCAAGTAACATGATGCTGATCGAAAATAAAGGTTTTGTTTTGTGGATGTCGGTACCACTGTCTACAAGAAGTAAATTCGTACGTTATTCAAAAGACAAACCAAACGGTCTATGACATGGCGCTTTTCGTATTTGCTCGTGTTGCTGTGCCTCTAATGCCCGTCTTTCACCAACACCAGCACCAGCTGTGTTTACTAAGACAGGTTTGTTTTGTTTTTATCAGCATTGAGCGTTTTCTTGTTTTTATTACTATTTTTTTGATTTTTTTTTCACGTATGCACTCTCGTAAGTGCGTGCAGGTAGTTACGCTTCTAATTACTAGCACTTTCGAGAGTCTATTTTTGCTCAGTAACAGATCTCTTAATAGGTATCATCGTGAAAATATTCACTCACCAAAGCTGTCGTTTGTGCTCTTAGCCTCAAAATCTTCCTGCAAAAATATAAAAGAGGAAAATTTACTTTCCACCGTTTACGCGATGTTCTCTGCTGAAAGCAATCATATAATTTGTTGCAAGACTACTCTATAAACTACATGTGGGCTTCAAGCGTCGGTAACTAAATATTAGCGGGGCTCCCGCCGCGAAAAGCGCGCTTGGGACGAACCCCCGTACTCATGGAATATGGTCAACCTCTTTTCGTTTAGTTGTCACGTGATTGACCGATTGTACGCGTCTACAGATTGTACGGGTGGGGTAGGGGAGGCTATCAAAAGGATGGGAGGGGTGTCTCAGGCGTGTCTTGGCAAGTCCACATCTTTTATATAGGACATTCACAATATGATCAATTGACAGCTGTCAAAACAGGATAGCCACTGACCAGTATCCCATGACCATATCACGGGCTCATGTGTCAACTCATCGAGGTGACGTGATTTATGTGGAAGCTGTCCGCTGACCAGTTAAGAGCGAATGCACAGAAAAATCGAGCAAAATCGGCAAATCGTGGCCACAGCTCAAAACCTAACTGACGCTCATTTTCAGTCTGTAATAAGGTTTTAATGAGTTTATAACACTGCTGAGGTTTAAATTTCAAAATGCGGCCGAATTTGGGAATTATTTGAGATTTTCGATTTCAACGGTCAGCGGGCCAAAAATTAGCCCGCCGAACTCGGGAAAACAGCCCAGTGACAGAATTGAGCTGACTTTCATAAACGAGCGAATATATTGGCAATCTTCCACTTAAATCTCAAAAAGCAGTTATCTAACAATTTCTGAACGGCACATTTTTTAGATTTAGAGTATAAAATATCGACGAACGAGCACCATTTTGAAACGTAATTTGCATAATGCTTATAAATACAACAATTTACCGCTAAAACCAAAATCGAATTTTTTATATGGGGGAATTCTCCAAATCACCCCAAATCACGCTTACTACCCGATGAGATATAGTACTTCAACATTATCTGAAAGTTACTCTGGTGTTCTTGCGAACGCTTGAAAAATAGATTGATTATTTTTAGGTTATTTTGCCCCAAACAACGGCTTGACCCTAGGGTCAATTGACACGTGTACGTCACCTAGTTTTATGCATCGATCTGAGCTCGTTAAAAGTGAGAAACTAACAAGATGAGAATTATAATGGGGGCCTTGATTGTTGCCACCTTACCAGAAGTCTAATCTTCGCACTGTTAGACCATAAGAATGTCTATTATTATTCCATAAATGCACCATTGACTTTTCCTTGCTCAGCTTCCGGTAAACCGATACTCCGAAGCAAAAATAGCTTTACAACGACTCTATCCAGGCCAGAACTCCTGATATCAACAAAAATTAACCTTCCCCCCCCCCTTAAAGAGAGCAAACGTTCCCCGAACTATTCACTTGACCCACCCCATCCCTTCGTAAAGAAAAACTACGCACTCAGTTCACTGGACAAAACGCGCTCGTGAATATACCAAACTAGCCGTTCATCCTACAAGCAATCTCAGTTTCAGCGGGCGTGTCCACGTTTCCAGTTGCTGTAAGATTAATTCGACACCTGCAACAGACACTGTAAATTAAATAGCAGCCACAACGCCCTTCTTTGAAACCGTCAGGACGAGAAAGTCTATAAAAGACGTAACAGGTGTGCGCGGCGGTTTCCTTTTCTTCCTTCCCTCCCATTATATTGTAGCACTCAAATTCTGACCCTGATATTAATTCTAGTAGTAATCAATCGTTCCTGAGCCGATACGCCCAAGGATGCCAGTTTCTTGCAAAATATGGTGTGACATCCTTTTGCTCATCCCCCTTTCTGCCTTCGGCCGCTGATTAGGTTTGGTTCTGTGCTTTGAAATAACTTTAGGAACGAAACATGATACGTGAGGGGCGTGTCCGGCTAAGGACAAGTGACTCTCGGTGGTGAAGACATATACTGAGCTTGTCAGTATTTCGTAGCCTGTACCACGTCGCGAAAATAGAACAGGCCAAAGAAAAATAAGACGCCTTTCTTTCCCCAGCCCCCGCAGGTTTTTCGCATTACTTTTTACTGCACAACTGATTCTGCCTTTTCGAGCCGGAGCGAACATGGACGCCCTTGGGGTTAAGTTTCCACTTCATTTTCGGCACCTGCCTAAACGCAAGCGCTGACTCGTGCGCCTATGCTTCGTTTGCACTGAAGTAGCAGTATATGACCACGACAGACTTGCTGCTATCCTTGGTTTGAAACTGCAATGGGCAAGAACAATTTCTTGAAAAGAGCAAACTATTTCCTCCTTAGCAGACATGGAGAACAACTCCTAGGATCCTACTAGACTTGAAAAGAGAAAGCATGATGCTTTCTCTTTTTAATTTAATGATTTACGGCTAAACAGTACAATTTGATGTAGCTTTTACGCAAAATTAAATACTTAGTTGTTTGCAGAATTGCATTTAACAACAAATTACAGAAATTTAACTAAGTTTAGATCTCATAGATAAGAATTGAACGGTAAAAAAGTCAAAATAATGTTTGCTGGAAAATCACTTAATGGAGATACAATAGCAGAGATATCATGCCTGTAATTTTCTGTTCAATGCACCTTACGACAAGTCTGACTAATCCACTGGTAACCCATGCCTTAAAACCGCCTTGAACCTTAAAATTTAATCCATTTGCCTTTCATGCGTGGTGCAAATATATCTTCTGAACACTCCGGGGTTGGACGTAAAATCAGAGGAACAGAACATTCAGTTACTGTACCATTTTTAAAAGTGGGATAGTACGTTTGCTAATCATCTTAGTTAACCGCTTTTAAAATAGGACAAAAGGACACCTGGTCATACAGGAAAATGAATTTACTGTATCCCGAAAGCTTTAGTTTCCCGTGAACTTATTTTTCGCAGAGGACAATCGATAATTGCATGGTCACGCAATCGGAGGTGAGTAACTAATTAAAAGTCATTCATACCATCGCCGCTTAGCAATACACTACGTGCTGCAAAGGATCCAAATTGCACTAGAATGTTTTCCTATTCGGCCCACTTTTAATCTCAGGTAAGGCACTGCAAAGCTGATTCATTTACGAAGGTTCGAGCGAGAATTATTTCATGATGTTATTCTGATTTCGCAGTCACGGGAAAACTTGCCTGCGTGCAGACGTCTCCTATTTCCTTTGTTGCGCGTGCAACAAAGGAAATAGGAGACGTCTGCACGCAGGCATGGGAAAACAGACCTAGACTCAGGTCCACTCACAGACGCCATGGTACAATCTACAAGATCTCAAGAACAGAAATTACCCATTGAACGGCCTCTCCTTTTGAAGATTGCGTGTATTTCATTAAAACAGGTACATATTAATTAAAAGAATCTTGTACATGTTAGTTTCTCCCTTTTAACGAGCTCAAATCGATGCATAAAACTAAGGTGACGTGCACGTGTCAATTGACCCTGGGGTCAATTAGCGGTTGTTTGGGGGCAAAATGACCTCAAAATAATCAATCTATTTTACAAGCGTTCGCAAGAACACCACACTAACTTTCAGACAATGTTGAAGTACTATATCTCATTGGGTAGTAAGCGGGATTTGGGGTGATTTGGAGAATTCCCCCACATAGAAAATT